GTCGGCATATTCACATTCTCCGCGTCCGTAGTTCAGCCACACTATCCATATAAGTTCCCATAACCATTCCCCAAATAACACCAATATATTTATCCGTTTTGAATATATTGCTCTCCAGAGGATATCGTTGAACGACTAAGCCCTGTTAATTCATATTTCCTCATCAGTTCTTATATGTTAGATATAGAATTATTTATGTGTGTACTCAAGCAGAGTGTCTGGCAAGGCCCATATAGTACAGTATGCCAGTAGTCAGATGTCATCAAGTAAATCACAGACAATTTTATCTGGAATTGTTATGTTGGTGTTCTGCTCGTAGGAATTAAGTTGGCCGATTTTATTACCATTTCTCCCCTAAAGGTGTAGCTCACCCGCCACGGCACTGAAATCACCCTGGCTCGAAAAATAACAGGCCGATCCGAACCAACTTAATATTAACTAAATAAACGTCTAATCAGCTTTCAGATGCCTTAGGCGTTTTAGGTTTTGTTTTGACAGGTACATTGGCGGATAGGCGGAAATGTCACATTCCTCTAATTCCTTGCGCTGTCAACATACTCAGACTCTGAGTTCGTAGTTCAGCCATACCAGGCAGATATTTTCCGAATCCTTTTTTCTAAATGATGTTTTATTATTATTTTACTGACTTGTGCCTCTTATGTGGTGATAATTCGTAATAACTGATTTGGTTTATTTCCCTATTTTGACAGTGCTTACATTTTGCTTATGGAATGACTTGCCAGATATTCCATGATTCGTGAAGTTTTTATTGAATGGCTAATCAATAGCACTAGAAACACTTATCAAAATCGATTGAATATTAGGTTAATTTTAAAAACACTAATATTTGAAACTTGTGCTCACGACTGGATATATATACACATGTTAACACTCCAATGGAATAAATATATCACTGATCTCAACATAATACATCAATAATCTTTGAGCCAAGGGCGCTGTTCACAACAAAGTTATATATATGAGAATTGACTTCAAGCTTTATTTTTACCAGATATTTGTATTACACTCATCTGATGTCTGGATTTTTTGTTAATGCGAAGACAATATTTCTATATCTCTTTATGTGCTACACAAACAAACTTTATAGCAGACTGTTCCGACTGACTTTGATGTCAGAAAGAACAACCAAACTGTAAATCCATTATACATCAAATTACGTGTAATTTATATAATAACTTATCCATGTCTGTACAATTGGTATGTTCCTGCATAAACAGGAAGAAATATATATTATTATTATTATTAAAAAACAGGTCACCTTGACTTTTAATATGATCTGAATTTGTGCAATTATTCAGTATGTTTTCACAGGCACCATCAACTTCATTCTACATCATCGTCTGCAAAAATAGGTCCCACATCTTGGATGATGCATGATAGGGTGGTGAAATAGAAATTATTACCTATTAAGGTCACTCTATCATAAATCCAGCGTAAATAGACATCCACATTTTTCAGAGTTCTGCTCACTGCAATCGCATATATGCAGAATGGATGAAAAAACCAATATTCTAAAACATTTACATGCATAAAAATCGTGTCTACAAACAGCTGCATAAAGTTATTAGGCTTCGGCATTCTTCATCCAGCATTGGACGCTGACCTTCACTGACTGAAGCGATTCCTTAAATTGAAGGTGCGCGTTCAAGCGTCCACTTGATATGCAGTAATATTTTTTTTCTGTGCTATAATAGAAAAAATACTGCATATAAAAAGGCAGTGATTTCTTCTGAAAACTCACTGAAGTTCGTAAGCGTGCAAAGGAAATTCTTCTTATGCATTATATGTAGTAAATTATAATTAGCATCAGTGTCTCCATAATGCGTTGAATGAATATGTTTCTTCGGAAGTGGGCTAAGGGACTGCTGAACTAATGTTCGTGAACTGCGCTAGAATACTCAAAGGCATTGCTGAAACGATGCTAGTTAGTGCTTAATTAAAGCCTAAATAACTGTGAAAATGAACGCCAGTGTAATTAGTATAAGGACAAAACTTCGACACTGTGGTAGAGTATAATTCCATTATGGATAAAATTGCACTTTTATAAAATTGCAGTCTTATTTAGTGGTACTCACTGATGACCACGTTTCGAGCACAATTAATCGCTCATTATTATCAAGTCATTTACGCAACTTTATTGTTTCGTTTATGCATATTTAGTAGAGATTGATTAGACATGTGAGTAAAATAAATATAAGACTTGCATGAAACGGAAAGGAAGGTACCTGCTCTGCAGCGCTACTGCATACATGTTTGCTCCAGAAGTGTTGCCTGCGGGACACTTGAAGAACAAGTAAAAAAGCAGCCTGTCGTCTTGAGGAGGCATGAAGAAACGTTCGGCATCCGTCAACTGCTGAAACTAGTCAGTGTTGACATTATGCCAAGCGAATTTCAACCACCGAAACCCTATGGGATGCAGTCATTTGGAAATTACACGCTGCATGGGTACACAAAAGTGCACAGTGAGACAAATAAATAACTGAATAAAGGTCACTGTACAGAATGCAAACAAACAATAACAACGATATATATATATAGTGGCCTCATGACATTGGAACATCAAGAGGAGTGATTGTATCTGTGTCAATAAGAACAATATACCCACATACACCTTTCGATGGATATGCAACGGTCCAGGTTGCCACATGCCATGTAGCCCGAAAAGGTAGAAAACAAGCGCATAAGGAACGATAGCTAACGAATGTGTACGAGAGAAAGAAAAAGTATATGGGTGACAGTGAGAATTCGAGGGATCTAACTAACTGAGAGTCAACACAACTGCATAATTGAGGAGAAGCGTTAACCCGAACTGCGGATTTCTAATCCCCCTGCAATCAGAGAAATTAAATTTAATGCTATCATTAATGCAAGTTTAACGCTGCCTAAAATGAACAATTTCCACTATACAACACCCATATATTGCCTAAATGAATGCTTACAGCGTCGATAAATTCAATCAGCTCATCACGATAATCAACTGTGGGGAAGCAGGCAAATGAATAATAAACCTAATTCGCTTCTATGAATGCCGTATTTTCAGTCGAGAACGGAGTAGTTTTCCCACCACAAGTAAATTCTAACGACAACTATTTGAGATTTTTAAAGAAGACTATATGATAAACAGTGGATTGCGGATTAGTTGATCCTAAAGATAGTGATAAGTAACTGATTTATTCTTCCAAGTTAACGCCCACTATTTTCCACTATTATCCTGAAATAAATCACACATTTGCAAATACATCTGTCTCTGTTACTTTTGTGAGTGCGGATTTCCATATTACACTGAAATGTGTTCTCATTCAAGTATCAGAGGACTGACCATGCAACAACTGCGTGAAACTGGTAGCAACCTTACAACGTCTGTGATCGTCGTAGCTCTACAATTCATGAGATTCGCTAACAAACATTGACCCGGAAAATATGAAGCTACTACGGTTGATTACTCCACAGACTTTCTATTGGAGATACTAGAGACAGTGTTTGTGGCTAAAGAATGCAGCAAAATGTAGGTGGATAGCTACCTATGAATTGAGTTCTCTTTAATCCTTATATGGTCTATGTCCCTTATCAATCTCTTTCGAATCATGGCTTCCATCTCGTAAGGATTATTATTCTTCTCCGCTCCACAAGTCCATTGTCATGTTAATAAAATTAAATTTTAACAAAACTCATATATCTTTGATTCATACGTTTTACTGACAGACTAATTTATGTATAGCTCAGTACACCTATTTCTATCAGATACTTTGTTAGTGGTTAAAGGTAGGGTTCATAAGGGGTAGTACATTCCAATTTCGTTCACACTGAATAGGGAAACCACCCAACATCTGGGAATTTCGTAATAAACCATCATTATTCACTGAGTTTCACTTAAAACTATTGGTTAGTAAGCAGACATAAGAAAAAAATGCAAAGGTGATTACTGTCATATCTCTTTATTCTTACGGAGTGAATAGCACAAAGATAACAGTCCACCTGTAGTTAGTTATCAAGCAGTAAGCCTTATGCTGAGCGCCCAGTAAAACTCCATTATCAACAAGCTTACTAGAACCTGCCGAACAACCCCATGAAGAACTCTGAGGGAATTTTGCAGGCTCCTCATTTCGGTCAGGTAAGGTTAAATGAGGTTAAATAAATCCGAAAGGTTAAATGATCAAATTTATTTGGGTGTAGTGAGTATATCCTTAAGATGCAGTATGCACTGACAACCTCAGATTCAGTTTTCGGGTGGTGGGTTTCTTGAAAAGCCCAGACGATTGTAAGATTCAAATTGAAGTTCAAGGCCTCGTCTTCAAATACTATTAATAATTGTTTGCAATGAGTCTTAAGAGCTAGACACTGACTTAAGAGATGCCGGAGGAACAGTTAGTACATGGCTGCGTTTACACTCTGGGATTGAAAGTCTAAAGAGAATTACTTTCTTGTGGTGACAAGGACTGACAGCGACCAGATAACACGTGCAATGCTTGCAGTTCAGTTCACAAGGAGGGTTTATTGCTATTTAGATGGGATGACAAAGCTGAGGGGCACAATATTTGCGGCAAAATATTTACTGTATCTTTGTGCGTAAAGTGAATTCCTGCTATTCATTTGTGATAAGCGCGTTCCTGGTGACACAAAACCCATACGCAACAATGTGACTGTTCTTATTCTAAGGAAATATACCTTAGCGAGGCCAAAGCAATCCTATATATATACATATATATATATATATATATATAGGTTTCACCACTATATTTATCTTTACTTCAGATTAATGTCGAGATAAAATTTGAGCACTGTGGAGTATATCAAATTAATTACAAGTATATTTCTATGACAGTTCACGCACATTGATACTTTTTTGTTTTCGGTAGTATTTTGAGCAAAACTGCTGACTGATGTCACACCAACTGTAGGAATTGTTTTTAAAAATACAGTTATAACCTATTTGATATTTACTTCACATTAGGGTCCTCGAAATTTTTTTTACTCCCTTTATGTTTAATTATGGGACGACAAATGACCTCTATTCTAAATGTGCGTTTTTTAAAGTAGGTAAATATAACCTTGGGACAGACCGCAGCGGGGTACAGGTTAGCTTACACATGAAGTTGTCATTTACTATGCTGGCACCCAGCCGGACTAAAATAATGAAAAAACAGGTGTATAATGGACACGGCTTGTAGAAAGAAAATGAACGAATTTTGGTTATATTTTGAGATTTCCAACATTATTTGATTGAAATTTCATCATTGTAACCACTATGATATCAATATTGTATCATTGCCGAACTATTCGCTCCGTTTGTCCAAAATGTGTTCATTTTAAACTATTTTTTAACTATAATTTACCTATTTGTGTCCGACTTGTTACTCCACGTCTCTTTCATCTACTAATAGTGACTCTATCGTTTACTCGTTTACGTCTAAACGGTTGTTAGCTCATTTTTTCATTTGTTGTAATGAGAAAGTGGGTTAGCCTCAGCTACAATATGTTCAGAGATGTTATTCACGTATGAGTTGATCGTTAACATTCTCCTAAATGGGATACCACTGTTCCGGATGAAATTGATTGAAGACTATAGAGGTAGGTGTCATAACTCTCCTTCCCCTCCTCTTCTTCTTGTCAGTCGTAAACGACTCTGCTTTCTAGGCGTTTCTAACTCCTTAACGAGAAACAACCTTTGAGAATATACTGCCGTAGACAAATGCGTTATTCTTCCATTCATATATATGTCATCAATATTTACGCTGCAAGAATCACAGATTGATTATACGATCAAATCACTACAAATGTGTACCGCTTAGTATCTTAAATGCAAACTTTCCACTGATTTAGAGTTTTCTTCAGGATGTTGAACCGTCTTACACTCATCATTGGGTTATATTGTCCTGAAAGTCATTCTTTCATGAGAATTAGTGGAGCCTATATGTGGTACTCAGAGAATTCTTTTGAGGGATTTTTTTGCATATCTTAAAGACGGAACAGAACAGCATATGTCAGTAACCACAGGAAAAGCTAAGACCTGTTTTGCAACATATTAGGAAGGAAGGCCCTGTGTAATTTGTTTTCTGTTATAAATACATACTTTGACTGGACACTAACTAGTTTCATGCTAGGTAGGTCACCATCATGGTGCACTCGTAATTATTATTAAGCGGTTGGATACGATTGGCAGGAAGAGTTCTACCTAGGTTTCGTGCTTCTTGGTACTCACCAGTCTGCAAGCCATGTCTGCAATCTTGAAGGAGTTCATATCCCTTCTGGGATTTGAACTTGACCTCCTGTAGGACTGCAGTAGGTACTTTGATTGGACACTAGATGGTGTCATGCGTCTATTCGTTTTTTGGTGCAGACTGAATTTTATCGGTCAAATCACCTTCTAATTAGTATCTTAGCGTTTCATTTTATATGAGGAAGAACAGTGGGCGAGTGAAGGCGCCTAAAAGTAAAAATATATGGTTTTTAGATAAGACTGATAGTGTAAAGAATAATGAAGCCACTCAAATGAGAAGCTAGCCTTTTCATATCTTCCACTTTCAGCTACCCTGTCTCAGCCGTTAAGGTAGAGGGAGCAAACTCCTGCTCAGATCACACGTCCTCTGACCGATAACTGGATATCACGTCTACGCCAGAGATGATGTATGTTGGAAAATTCCATACGAACGTTTTGTATCCGTGCTGAGATTTAGTCAGAAATCAGCCGGTTGTTCCTGAAGTCACTCCCCGAATAAGTGAAGCGGTCAATCCGCTCTACTATTTCACTCTTTATCTTTACGCTAAGAGTCGGTGCAGTCCAGCCCTTTGGCACTGCCTTACATTTGACGGGAGGAAATCATATATCAAATATTCCAAGATGACTGCTCAATGTTGTCAGAAAACCGCATTTCGTTAGTGTCTTCACTTAGGAGAATTATATCATCCTTGTATTTTAAGTCTACAAGACTGTTCACTGGTAGTAAATCACTCCCTGAGTCTTTGAAATCACGTAGGTACTTGACGTTAGATGCATGAATAAGAAGTCGACAGCGTGGCTTCAAGAGACTATCGGTATTGCGTTTCCGACTCTTTCTTATTATTAGTCACAAAGTGGAAAGATAAGGGACCTGTCTGTGGAATGTTATTAAGAGTAGGAGGAAGGTTAGATGATGAGGGTGAAGTATGTAAAGGTGGGTGATGGTCAGGTGAGCTTTGTGAGCTTTTGGCAGTGTGTGGACGGTTGTCATTTCCCCGTTACCCAGACTGTAGAACTATTAGTGAGTATAACCGTAATTAAATTTAGCGACTTATGGATTGGCGTTTTGTCAACATAGAGTATGCATGTAACATTGTCCTTCTAGATAAAGACGTTAATAAAATGCAATTTTTTGAACACCCTAAGCAGAAATCTTCGAATGTTTGGCATGCGATTCATACCCATGAAATGTAAGATGGTTCTGGAGGATTGGACTACACCGACTCTTAGCGTAAAAGTAAGGTGTGAAATAGTAGGGCGTATTGACCACTTCACTTATTCGGGGAGTAACATCATCACCAACTGGTTGATTTCTGACTAAATTTCAGGACGGATACAGAACGCTCGTGTGACATTTTCCAATATACATCATCTTTGGAGTAAACGTATTATTATTCCCTTGGGTTGCGAGTGAAACAACTTATCCACTTTTTTCATTTTCTGCTGTTCTCTTCATCTGAGTCGATGATTTCCCATAATCTCTCACCTTCCACGATCTCCTGCATGCCACCCTAGGACGACCCACTCGTCGTGTCCCATTGGGACTTCATAACATAGCATAACAATTTCGCCTTATTCCAGAAACAGTACTTGTGGTACAGTGTGGAATTTTCAGCACATATCTACAATATTGCATCTAATTTCACCGTACATTTAAAAGGGGTATTACAAAAAAATAATAAATAAATATAAAAAAACAGTAAAAAACCAAAAAAGAAACAGAAATAACAAAAAAAAACAAAAGAAAAAATGCAAATAAAAATACCAAGTAGAAAGGAAAATAAACACCAATGATGAAAAAATATTTCAGTATTGGTTAGTGGAAGCTATGATATGTTTATGCGTGGCGGACAGTAACAGCTATAATCATACAAGAAATTATGAGATGTTCTTAAGAATGTTTATAGCCAAGATGATCAGTTAATTTGATTGAACAACACTAAACAATCATAAAATAAACATTTCAGGTTGTGTTTTCTTTTATTGTCAGCACTAATGCAGTGTTTGTAGTGGTAGTGTAAGTAATCCTGCATAATACAAAATTTTTAAGATGGTGATAGTGGCGTTCACAAACAAGATTGTCAGTTAAATAGTGCCGAACAAAGAACAACCACAAAAATTAATATTACATGATGGTTAATGACAGGACAGTTTTGTAATAATCATAGTGATAATATAGTCGGACCCAGTAGATATACAAAAGAAGGAATAGAATAAAGAACAAAAAAGTAAGCCAATGATAATAATATTAAGTAGCTAGGTATGTTTAAGAAGGTTGTTCACTATAGAATACAAATAAGAGAGTATAAGGGGGAAATAACAAGGGCCAAAACTATGTTATTAACAACAAAGCAAGTCATAAGTTTCACGCTTAACATTGTCCCTGTCACTTAGAACACGGGCCAAATATGGTATCGTTGAGTTCCTATACTTGGTTGTACGAGCATATATTATTTTGTACTGATTTCTGGTTCTACCTGATGAAATGCAAGGAGAGAGTTGGGAATAGAGGGGATGTTGGGGGTCAGAGAGTCTGATTTTAGACCATTTCTCGCATGTATTCAGATGCTTATCCACTAATGTAGTGACGAGCTGACTGAATTTTACACCTCTAGTCCTACTTACTACCTTCAACATCCTTCTCAGTAACCCAGGAAAGACTAACGGGGGGCAGTAAAGTAGAATAGGTAGGATACGAGAGTTGACAAATTGTGAAAGCAGAGGTTGAGGGACTCCATTTAGTCTGAGTTTCTTAATGTAATAGGTTAGACGAAACACTTTCTTGGAAATCATTTGGATATGAGATGACCAAGTAAGGTCGGAAGATAGAACTAATCCGAGGTATTTTGCATTAGATTTTGTTTCAATTATAGTCCCCTAAAGGCTACAGGCTTCATGAGTGCTTATTAGTGTTTGTAGATTTCGTTTATGCCTAAGGGAGAAGTCCTCCTACACTAGGAGGTCACTCTAGCTATGGATTGCATTGCGCGCGATGTCATTCGACAGCCTCCTCAGCGTATGCCCCATCCATCTCTATTTTCTCCTGCATATATGATGGTTGATTTGTCGCTAGGCATCTTGGTGGTAATTCTTCCAGGTCAGCCATTCTTTTATTTTTTTATTTACAGCTTGATTCCACACTGTATTTTTGGTACAAGTATGGAATTTTCAGCATGGATATCGGTAGCCCAAATTTTGCAGGCCGACCATAGATATCAGGTGTGCGCCGGCGTGGGCTCGAACCCCGGACCATGTGCATGGTTGGCGAGAGTCCTAACCACTGTGCCACCGACGCACGGTATGGAGCAAGCGAAGGCAAATGTTAATAAAAGTCTGCAACCTATTGAAAATCCTTTTCGTTATACACTGTCCAAGTCTCTGATCGGTATGGAAGAACTGACCGATTTCACATTTGTGATGAAAATCTGAATCTTGTTCTTTATGTTGGCTGAGTACAGAAGATTTCCAGACTACTCTCAGGTTAATGAAGGTGTATCTTGCCTTTCCGATTATGACTGGCTTTGACATCATCCGTTCCGCCTGTGGTTAAAACTGGGCTTCCTAGGTAAGTGGAGGATGTAACCCCACTCAAATCTCTCCCGTCAATAGTGATTGGTGGTAATGGTTGTTATTGCTATTGGTCTCCGGGTACATTCATCACCTCCGTCTTCTCTGTGTTCACCTGGAGTCTTATCTTCGCTGCCTGCCTCTTCAGCCAGCCTGTTGGTTTTCACCTGCTAGTCTTCGAGTTTGTGCAGCATTAGATATAGGTCATCTTCGAAATCCAGATCTTATCGGTACAACGTATTCCTGTCTTCTCGCTCCCTGTGCACAGTCTAACGCATGATTCAGTCCACCGCCATGTGATATCTGGTTATTGGTTAGAGGACATATGCACCACGCAGCAGTCCAGCCCATCCTCCTCTATGGCTATGGTACTTGGCCGTTGGAAGTGGAAGACTTGAAAAGAGTGAACTTTTACGCGTTATCTCCGTATTAAGCGACATAATGTGGCTTATAATATTGGAGTTAGGCGAGGAGAGTAAGTCAATCGGTGAGGTTGTGAAGGTGAGTCGATTCAGATAACTAGGACACGTGTTGCGCTCAGCGAGCCACCTTCCTCACCGAGCAATGTTGGTGCTAAGATGCAATAGCTGGAGACTGTTGGTAATATGGTTCAAAGCTGTTATCAATGATGTAGTTATGTTGCAGAAAGTTCCATGTAGGTGTATTCTATTAGGTAATTTTACTGTAAATGATTTGTCAGGTTCTGTATTAATATCGTTATCGCGTCTTCACAAAGAAGTAGGCACATGGGTACTTATAGTATTCGACTTGTTTTTCCTTGTATTATCAGAAAGCCCCAAACTCGTCATTTTTGACCATATTATATCTCCCTATGAATTTAATGTTAGTCAAGGTTAATTTGATGGATATGTAAGTAGTTATGAAACGGTATTAGTTAAACTGTCGTCAGTTGCTGTTAGAAGTTAAGTTTTAGTCAAATGACAGTTTGTGGTTGTCGAAAGGTAGCGGAAGCTGGTTTCTGTAGTGAATGATAGATTTAATGCAGGGCTCTGAAACCATATGCTTCACTTAAATTTAGTGTCCAACATTTTACTGGTCGAACAGGTGATGTTTTCTTTTGGTATACATTTTAATTGTTGCAACAATAAAATTGCGAATTTTAGCAGTCATTTTCGCGTAAATGCGTTAAACAGGTGTCTTAGTACTATTACGCCTTGGTATCCAGTTACCGTTTTACTGCCGTTTGAAATTTAATTTCTGCTGTAGGTAGTTTTAAGCTTAATTCTCACTATCTCTACGGTACCTGTCTTTTTTCATGAAGTAGAACAAAAGTAAACAAGTGAGACAAGTTAAGAAACTAATAAATCTGATCACTAGCAAGATTAACATTCATTGTGTGCCTGAGCATACAGTATATAACACTATTGAATCCTTTATTTTTCAGCTATTAATCGTAAAATGGATTGCGTGGTTGCGGATGTATCAGATATTAATTTCATCATTGAAACTCAGCTGGAAAGTCAGATTGGACTGGGATCTTTACCTTTCTCCAATATGAACAGTTGATTAACAGTTTATCTAATACCAAATATTTTAGAATCCGGTGCGGGTGTTTGCCGATTTTTCATTCTCAATCAATGTCCACTTAATAATTTATGTCCTTTGAGACATATCAAAGCCGACAGAACAGTTGTATGTAAGCATTGGCTTCGTGGTTTGTGTAAAAAAGGAGACGATTGTGAATTTCTTCATGAATATGATATGACTAAGATGCCGGAATGCTACTTCTTCTCAAAATTCGGTGAGTTTGGTCTGAAGTTTCGTCATGACGTCTGTAGGAGAGTGTATGAACAAAGAATGCCCATTTCTTCATATTGACCCTGCCACTAAGATGCAAGATTGTCCTTGGTATGATAGAGGATTTTGCAGAAATGGTAGTGAGATTTTCACTTTTAGAAATTCTTTTAGGCCCATTATGTCGTAATCGTCATGTCAGAAGAGTAGCCTGTAAAAATTATATCAACGGATTTTGTCTTAAAGGACGTGAATGTAAATATGCTCAGTAGGTGATAATACTTATTTTCTCACTCCATAGTCCCATATGGTGGCCCCTTCCTGGTGGCGATCAAGAAGCAATGAAGAGTCGCTGGATATGTCATTATTGCAGTAAGTTTTCAGTATTCGTATTGCACAGTTATTTTGATTTCCTTAAAATAATGTGTTTATTAATTTACTTTCAGATGAACGTGGACACAAGATTCAGTTTTGTCTTAAACTGTCACCCGAAGAACGTTTGCGACTACAGGAACAGCAGAAGTTGCAGAATCTTAGCGCTTTAGGTGCCGGGACAGTCCAATCAGGCGCTACTGCGGGATCCCGTTTTACATCTGAACGTCTCAAGTTCGGCGGTGCAATGGGCACACAGGCACCTGGTAGCGGTCCTCGACAAGGTCCTCACAAACCACTCTATGAAGTAACATGTTTCAAGTGTGGAGAGAAGGGTCATTATGCAAATCGATGCAGTAAAGGTTACTTGGCTTTCTTAAGTAAAGTTTCTCTTCAACCACATGAAACAGAGAGTGCACAAGTCCAATAAGCTGTTTTGTACGTTATTTTACATAATTCTTCGCACATTTTTAATAAACGTGATATAAACTGTACAGCATCTACCTACATAACTTGTGTTTTATTTTTCATAAATTGGTCTTTAACTGGCAACGCCAGCGGAAAATGAGGGTCAAACAACTACCGATTTGTAGTCTATTTTATGTTTTATAATACCTAGCTATCAATAGTTTAAATAAGCGTATATATTAGATTACGCTAACTTTTTTCTAACATAGAAAGCAATAAATGCGAATAAGTGAAGAAAAGGCGGCTGCAACAAAGAGAAAAATTATCCTTTGAGAAAACTTATCAGGTAGGCTGAGGGTAGAAAGTGGTGAATTTCTCGAATTACTTCCGAACAAAGGTCAACACGGTGATTAATAAACTGGGATTACGTGATGGGAATAGATATTAAAATACGAAAATAGTCGGAAAGTTTAGCCAATAAGCATAATTAAATAATAATGATTTTATTCAGAAGTAAATTGGTCTTGATGATCACGGCAAAGGTTGAATGCATTCTACTTAGATGCAGCGCAACGATGAGTCGTTTAGTGTATCAGCTGTGACAAGATGTTTTAATCTTACTCGCTTTGAAATGCTTGTTCGAAAGACGTCGCAAATGGAGCTGAGTTCACAAATTGTCCTCTGATCGAACCAAAGACATTTCTGTGCTCCCTTCGCTAATTAGGCTGGACGCGTGCGCGTTTCATATTGGACACACTATATGGTCAATATGCTCACCTCTACAATCGTAAGTTGACTGGTGTACAGGCGTTGATATTACCACAACGTTACAACTGTTTTGGATATGGTGAAAGTATTTTATTGTGTTGAATACGTTGGGATAGTTTATTCGAGTACTTTGAGTGAGCCGTACGAGCGCACTATCGCAGAACCACCTGTATGAATTTCTTTAAACGGCTTGATTTGTCCTTCATTTTTCCTAATATTGTCATCAAATGTAGTTTTGTTTGTTCTAGTAGGATTTTTCTATGGTGTTTCGGAAATTACTTGTCGTAAGATAAAATGTATGAAAATCTATCAACTTAGTATGATTTATTTAAAGTCTATTCTAAGCATAAAACAAATTATACAATCAATCCGATATGATTGAGATTCTGTACTTGGATGGATGAATTAATCGCAGATTTTTGTTCCATAGAAACTGTTTGGGGTAGTTGTGATGTCTTAATTTAGCTGCATTCAGGCAATCCCTTTGACCTAGTATAGTGTTTTACATCCATCTCATATATAAGTTGCTTGTCTTCTCAAAACCAGCGTGAACGATCGTGCATTGCTGGTGCGATACAGGTTCATTTGTGGCGTTCCTCGTGAACGCTTCACTTCCAATCTGTTTTGGCAAATTATAGTTTGTACTATAGAACAACTGGCTATATTTTTTTTACTATTAATGCACACATATCTTCCATCCTTAAGTTTATGTCACTTTATCACCTGTCTTTCACACGCTCATAGTTCGAATCTTGTTTACCGACTGATATTATTAGTGTTTCTAGTTTGTAAGTCGAATTAAGCACTAGTTTTAAATTTTGAGAAGTGTCATTACGCATCTGTCTTATTGATAATAACAACAATGGCCAGCCGCTTATCAAGTGGGGGTGTAATATTAAGTAGCAACGAATAAGTAATCATTTTAAGCAAGCTGCGCCGTTAATAAGAGATAGTACCTGCGAATGTATGAGGTAGACATCGTAAGACGGGTGATGAATAAACGTTAGTGCACTTTATGCTAACAGGTAACGGTAACTTTTATTTTCACTAAATGAAGTACACATTCATGTGCAAAAAAAACCAAAACACTAAGTATATAGATATTAGTAAACGAGGATAATGTCTTACTGTCGGAAAGTTGCTTATTCCTAAGTGTCTCGTGTATGAAAGTTGTCAATACCAAATAAAGATTAGTTGCAAACAGATAATAATTGGACAACTTTAGGCTTAAGAAGATTCTAGCGCAAAAATAATAACTTCACTTAGTTAGTGCCTTACCCTGGCTATACATTGCTGTTCTCAACAGTAAATTATTTGCATATAGAGTGGATTTTAACGTTGAATATGCACTTTTCAGTATTAGAAGTAAATTACTAATGTCAATAAATCCGGGTTTGGTTATGTCTATTATAGTTAAGTCCGATTGGTTTTTGCAACTGAAGTAAGAAGAAAAAACCCAACGGTTAGTAGACGGAAATATTAAGTCAACTTGCGAATCTTACAGATTTTATGACTAGTATGTTGATAAATCTAGAATCCGGTGGATAATGGAAGTATGTGATGAGGAGTGTAATCCGATGATGATGAATTTATCGAAAGGAATATTCTTTTCTCCATCAATTAGTCTTAAATTTTTTAAATGGCATCTTCAATGTATTTCATTTCCCATGTTTTAAGCACTGCAATAAGTGTGAACAATTATTGACACATTTGTGTTAAATTGATAGAAGTTAGAATTTAAGAACCATACGATTCCACTGGTCTACAGTTCGTTTAATTTATCAGATTAAGTGAGCGTCAGCTTGCGTGTTCCGAAATATTCACAGTTTATTGAGTACTGACAGTTTCACAGACAGAATGCTTAGTTTGTCTGGAATGTTTGTAATTATTACCGAAGGCGATTTCTTGCATTACGGTTTCAGTATTAGGTATCACCTTAAGCTAGCGGATATTTACATTATCTGATTTACTCTATTTTCACATTATGTCCAATGTAGTAAAACAGCTTTTTATACACTAAGAAACGTTTGGTATACTCCCAGTTAATCCAAAAATAAAGATACATTTCCGCTTTGATGTGCTTAGCGTAACGTAGTGATTCATGAATAATCCCCATCCAGACATTTATGAAAACAAAACATGTAATCCAGAGAAGAGTCTCTTTTTCGGCAAAGTCATTCACTCATACTCATCTTCCCCCTCTAGTTAATATTTGATTATTCATCACATTTTTTGATGTCATGAAATTCAACCCTAACTAATATTTATTTTTGCCTGACAAAGCTAACGTACGCACATATACAAAAAATAGTTATATATAATTGCAATTGTACAGCTAAGTGAGTGAAGTCGTCGAAGAGAGGCTTCGCTGAATTATATCTTTTGTATTCATTGGCTTAGTAGTGTTTGACTGAGTTTCAGCATAGAAAGGCACCAGTTCAATTTGCCACGCTTAACCTAAAATAGAGATGGCCAGAAAAGATCAGCAACAGGGATCTCCGGCAGCGAACCAACCATGAACCGATTGTGCAACAAGTGACCAAGAAGAAATGCGGGGTGGATTGGCGATACTCTGAGAAAACCATCAAGTGACATCACACGACAGGTCATCGAGTGGAACATGATATGTAGTCACATGATGTCTGCATTTATTTTGCCAGTCTCATATATTTGCTATACGTACATTGATCGTTATTCAATTATAATCCAGAATATACCTTTTCTGTCCATTAATTAAATAAACAACGTATGACCTTTGTTTTATTGGTTCATGTATGTTGGTTATTTCCTATATACTCTTGTATTGTACAGTTAATTCACACTTTCGTACTTTTTTACTCACGTTCTTGTGTGACAGTTAATTTTCCTTGTCGGAAAATACACGTATCTTCGTGAACGTAATGGTTTTCTGATTTTTCTCTTCGCGTCGGGAAAAATTAGCTACTCAGTAATACCAGTCTGTACACTATCATCCGTTATATCTCATTAGCCAATATTCACACTTGGTCACACCATAATACTGGTGACGACTCCTTAACCGAACCCGAACGGGAAGGAGCGAGTTGGTTGTCAGTACGAGGGTGACATGAAGGAGGTCGTGTGAAGAGGAGATGAGAACATGTGGAGCCAGGTGAAAACGTTGACAGAGAATCGAACGCAATGGAGACGCGCAGCTAAAGTCTTATGTTCCTCTAGGAACTAAAGGAAACAATAATAACCTAAAACAAAAAGTTAGAGAAGCGGGAGAAATGAGAGATTCAAAAGAGTTATTATAGGCAGAAATGTGAGGGAGAAAGAATAGTAATACAGAAAAAAAACATGGCGATTTAGTTGGTATGGTAGATTAAAAAGGATTGATGCAACTGCGCTAATGAGAACGATTCCCAGAAATATCATCAAAGTCCCAATCCATTAGTTCTTATCATCCCAAAGATCCTAGCCAGGCAGCCTACACGGCTCAAACCAACTGCCTATGACTCCATACACTTATTCCCCTTCATGAATGTGAGAGAAGCAGTTGTCAGTCTTCTCTCGCTTTGGTAACTGGGTGTCTTTACTCTCTCTTTCATGTGATTGTGCAGTCTTTGGGTTTAACCTGTCCCCCTTGGCTATGATATAGCTTTGCTTGTTTCTACGAGTATAGTTTAGCTCGCCACATTGTTACTCAACTTAGTAGTTACTCATCATCTAGTCTTTATTACGTAAGTGTTTTGCCATTGTATCCAAGATTCCTTTTGTTTTAAGTTGATCTCTCCCTTTATACACCATATAAGTCGAATTTCTGAGCACTGCTCATTAAGTTTTGAGTTTCCTCATAACTGATATCATGTAACATTTACAGGTATGCCGAAATTTTTCTGTACATAAACTCGATAATTCTTTAAGGTTGTATACAGGTGACTATAAGCCCATGAAATAAACGACGGTACCAATTTATTCTGCACAAACTGTTGTTTTTGCTTCATTCAATTTCATGAACTGATGCCAGGCTTTGGTTTGACCACCACTACCTCTCCCTTCAACCTGATTCCATATCAGCTGACATTAACCTTCGAGGAAGGCGATGTCTACGTATGCACAACGCATGTCCTAACTATCCCAATCGATCCACCTCCACAACTTCATTGATTGACTCACTCTCCTTACACCTAACACTGGAAGCCTAACCTCAATATTATTATAATGCTTAACACGGGAGATAAATCGCAAACATCTGTGGTTAGAGACAGCTAGCCTTTTCATATCTTCCACTTTCAGCTACCCTGTCTCAGCCGTTAAGGTAGAGGGAGCAAACTCCTGCTCAGATCACACGTCCTCTGACCGATAACTGGATATCACGTCTACGCCAGAGATGATGTATGTTGGAAAATTCCATACGAACGTTTTGTATCCGTGCTGAGATTTAGTCAGAAATCAGCCGGTTGTTCCTGAAGTCACTCCCCGAATAAGTGAAGCGGTCAATCCGCTCTACTATTTCACTCTTTATCTTTACGCTAAGAGTCGGTGCAGTCCAGCCCTGTGGCACTGCCTCACATTTGACGGGAGGAAATCATATATCAAATATTCGAAGGTGACTGCTCAATATTGTCAAAAACCGCATTTTGTTAACTTCTCTACTCAGAAAGACAACACCCAACGCATACGGTATATGGACAAGACTGTACCTAGGTAACAAGTCAAATCACAAATGTATTTAATAACAATATACACTTTAGATAAAGACACTGATTCATATTCAAAACAAAGAAGCATCACAACAAAAACTCTCTAAAATGTCTACTGAATGACTACATATTAACAGTGTGTCAGAAATATCTAAGGAAGTAGCACTTCTAGTTTTTGTACCATTGGGAAAAGCGGAGGACGAATTTAACTTCCGACGAGATCTGTTGTCATAAACCCATGAATCTTAAAAATTGGAAAGTGAAAAAAAGATAAAAAGGTGTACAATAACATCAATGATATGATTGATTCACCAGTGAAATATAAAGATGGAAAATAAAATTAAAATATAAGAATTACAAACAGTTCAGAATCCACCTACACAAAGGATGATTTTGATGGATTTAAATTTTAGAAGTAGTTAAATTTTTTGACTCTCTGTGTAGTGTAATGAACTATAATAGAACCTTAGTCGATTTATCACGCAACCTAATATTGTGTAGATTTTGGAATATCAGAAACACTGATTTAACTATTAATATTTTACGGTATATATATATATATATATATATATATATATATATATATATATATATATATATATAGTGGTAAGCACTAATTTGTTTTCAAACCATAAAGTATGAAGCAGATTTGGACACATAGAGGAAAATAAAATTGTGTAACACGTCTAAATGTAGTGTAAAGCTTATCAAACTGATATAAGTGTGTAGTTCATTCATCAATAAATACACACCTCATATTATCGTAGAGAAGATTGACACGTATAGCCTTTGCAGCTGTTTGTATGTTATGTCCATTCAGTAGTAGACACAAATAATGTGTGATCAAAGTTCACGCAGTTGTTTTACAAGGACCGAAAATCTCCCACCTACCTACTCCATCGGTAACTTGCAGCTAGGTAGTCTATCTCCTCAAACCATTAGCTTAAGGTTTGAAATTAGTGCTGGCCAGAAACAAGATTGTAAATGGTTATCAGTGTTGTCAATACACGATTTAGTAGATACCCTAAATGTTCATTTCCATTTGGCCTAACTTTTCCACTTGAATATTAAAATCATCCACTAAGATGACAGTGGGTAACCACTTTGCAATAAATCAGACTGCTGATAAAACTAATCATTCCCTTCGTATGATCTCCAATCAATGGATGAGAAAGTAGTGATTAAGAAACGCCATCATTCCTACTGACTAACACAGCTGTACACCACACAGACAACTATCCACTGGTAGTAAACTAATCAAAATTCAACTTCATACTATCCCTACATCAAAAAGTACGCAAAAACTACCTTAACATGTACAGCGAGTTTCGTATATTCAGCGGCATGATTTTCATCAAATGATTACACTTAAATATTGCATAGGTGTCTAACATTTCAAGATGTCAAGGTTTTACCAAATAAGCGGGAATAAAGAATAGCTGATTATGATGGTTTCTGAAGAAAACACCTTACTGCTGTAACATCCCTATCGACCAGCAGTACAACTTTCCTCTTACATTCCTGTTTTAGAAAAAAATTATAATACGATGGTGAATGCCTTCCGTTTAACTGTTCGGCAGCCTACTTTCCTGACATAGTGAAGCCTTCAGGAACACTCATTCCAGCTATTCCGATTAGCTTACTCAAACACTACGAATAGTTGTCTATCATCTGAAGAAAATAAGGCATCATATTCAATCTTGTGTAGAAACAGTAATGAACACGGTCGATAACTTACAACTAAGGCTACAGCCAATGGAATTCTGAAGTGGCTGATGCCAACGAGCGCCGAACATGATGAGAAGCGAAAACTGTGTAAATGTGAACTGACTAAGAGCTTTCACAAGCACTATGAACGTTGGTGGGCAACGAAAGGGACGGAAGAGGCATCAGGAATACTCAATTTATTAAAAAAGTATTCTAAAAGGCTATAGTGAGTGAGATGATCTCCAAGGACAAAGGTGTCACTCGGGAGAGGTGAAAAGGTGACATTATTCCACAAAGCCAGTGACTGTTCGTCAGAAGTTGTCATTTACGTGGTTGGGGTCGACAAGATTCTAAGAACCAATGACTGGAGATTCTTCGTGACACCTCCTAAAATTGTTCGCGATAATTGAGATGTATTTAATCGTTACTATCATGCTGATTCAGAAAATCCGCACTAATTTTCATCTTTTTATTCTCTCTTCAATATATCTTCGTCCACTATAGTTTCATCACATTCCTTCTCTATACATTTAGGCGAGTTTCTTGAAAATGCAAAGTGTGATGCGCATTTTGTAAAATTCTACATATTGGTAAGTCACTCAATGTACAACTTCTAAACTTTTATTGTATATTGTTTTACTAAGATTACCTTATTCAACTACACACAATGCATAAAATAATCCAAACTACGAAAGATAATGTAAAAAGAAAACCTTTCATAAAAACAGTGCACAACCAGCTTGACTTACGACCACTTCTAAAGCAAATTAGGCCAGCTCTTTCTGTAGCCACATATAAATATTTTGGTCGACGTGGATGAAAAGCAGTTTCCCATATTATTTCACCATCAAAAGATATAGAAGTTAATGGATATTCTTTAGCCCTTGTATCCCATATATAAGCAGCTGAGTCAGAATTAGAAAAACCACCAGCACATAATACATGAGGTTGTCCAGGATGTTGAGAAATGCAGAGAAGCGGTTGATTTCCTCCAGGTCTTTGTAGTAAACGAAACCGAGAAAAAGTAGAAACATTGACAAAAAAAAGAGGTATATTTAAGAGACGTATTCTGTAAGAGAATAGTACAGAACATCAACTAAAAAATGCTATTAGGAAATCCTCTATATGAAATACCGTTTAGATTTAGAAAACATGAATATGATTTCGTAAATAATTTGCATAAAACATATCTACTCAGAAGGAAATTAAAATATCAGTTGAAGGAAAGTACATCATTCCACCATACAAAAAAGAATTGTTTTAGTTGGCATACTCGGTGAGTTGGTCAATCACTAATCACTAACTCCTGTTTCCTCAAGCTGATACCACCTCTACAAGAGATTAGTGGTTGAATGTGAAATAAAAAAACGCAATCTACAGTAGAACCCTAACTGGAGATTAGCGTTTAAATTAACAATTTGATTTGTTTACCGTAACAAGTATTTTTTGCAGGGAACAATATTATCGCAAACGATAAACTTATAAACGATGATTTAAAATTTACCGTATATATTTACACTGTGGATCCTGTGAACCAGTGCGTAAATCCCATAACGCCAAGCGACCTAACTGGTCCACAGTAGCCAACGTAGAATTATCGACACACTGCAATGCATTGACTGTACAATTATTATCTCCTAATATGAATACTGGATCTGTTGATTTGACATTAGATTAAAAGAGAGAAAAAATAACGTGAAGATAACAAAAAGTCAACCATATATAATAAATCGAATACACCTCTATATTATCAATAAATGAGATGAAAACTAGACAGAATAATAAACAATCCTTATTTTAAACGATTCTAAGAAGTCTATACACGCTTCAAAAAAGGGCATTAATCACACACGAAATCTGATTCCCCTTGTCCACTCAGAAGCATTTCCAAAGATTAGGTGATAAGAACATAAGTTTCAGTAAATTAAACACATAAGGCCAACTTAACTTACAAAGACAGAGGTGATATACGAATATGCAGTAAATCAAAAAATTCCCAATTGCAAAGTGTAACAGTAGATGTTTTTTCAACAAAATTATAAAACAGTAATAATGGGTTGAATTACCTTTGCTATATCTAGCAGGAATGGGACTATGGAGACCAGGAATACGATTAACGTCGACAGCAGCCAATTTACCGAAATCATTGCTTACATATGCACGTGTACCGTTAGGACTGAGCGCGAGACAGGATAAAGATGCTGACAGATTACCACATAGGACACCTTGCCCAATAGGCATCCAATCATTTGCAGTTAGTTGAGTAAGATATGGTTGAGCACCATCATCAGCTTGAAATAGTCTGAGAGTACCGTCAGAACTAGCAGAAAAAATGACTCGACAAGGATGATAAACCTAATTTGAATACAGATTGTAATCAGTCAAAACTTAAAATACGAAATAAATGTTTACAAATAAGTGTTTTCAAATATTAGCCAAATGAATGCAAGCTAATTTACGTACAAAAATAATAACCTCACCATATCTACAAAACAGAGGAACGCAAAGTATTATTTAAATGATTGTAAAGGAACGAAAGGTCACGTTGTGGTGGTGTGATACAAACAAAATGTTCCAAAGGAGTATTACTCTCACATATTCCCACAGTTCAATAGCGCATTAGCAACAGAATATATATATATATATATATATATATTTGAACATTCTATTTGCTGTTAGAGACAGAATACTTTTTCCACAGTTCAGTACTGCAATGTGACACACTTCACAAGAGGACATAGTACTGGATGACTGAGTTCCAACCTACATCTCTGCACAGAAATGAAGTAATTCAAGTTTACACACTCCATATTGTACAAAATCATAGAAAAAAAATGAAAACACCAATCATGAACTGATATAAGTGAATGGAGAATAATACGATTTCCATGGATCTAGGATTTCATAGAGAGTGAACGCATCTGCATCATTGAGAACGACTTTGAGCCAACTGTCTCAAGTCACTGCTTCTTAGCGTCTCATGGATCACATCAAGGCAGTCGATCAAATCAATAGTCAAAGATTTCATGGATTGATGCCAGATTTCGATTCGGTCACTCTTAACGTAAGCCTATGTTAGCTAACATTGCTCGACTAGGAATTTGTTGGCTTCGTATGCGAAGCACGTGCCCCGACTTTCTTAATCTGATGGAATAACAACAACAGCAACAAAATCCAGCGCCAATCACCATCACAACGGGAGGGATTTGAACGAGGTTACTTCATTCACTCACTTGTCTAGGAAGAATTGTCTCAACTACAGGCAGTCGGAACGGACGAGGATGTCAAATCGAGCGAGAATTGGGAAGGCGAGAAACACATTCAACAACCTGAAAGCTGAAACCAATCTGGAAATCTTCGTCACTCAGCCAGCATCAACAACAAAATTCGGTAGGATTTTCAATACAAACGTCAAGTCAGTCAGTTCTTCTATACGGATCAGAAACTTGGCGGGCGGGTCACATAGAATATTTCTAACAGCCTGTTGCAGACCTTCATCAACAACTGTCTTCGCTCCATACTGAAGATCAGATGGCCGGGCCGGAGAGAATCACCAACAAGAAACTATAGGAACAAGCAAAACAAGAACCAATCGCCAAACAACAAATATGCAGGAGAAAGTGGAGATGGATTGGACACTCTCTGGCTGAGGAGACCGTTGGGTGACATCGCGCGTCAGGTGATTGTCCGAGTGGAACCCGAAAGGGAAGTGGTGAGTGGGTCGTCAGTGCAAGAGTGACATGGAGGAGATTGTATGAAGAGGAGTTGAAACAGTATGGACTAACACGGATGCAGGTGAAAAGTACAGCAGAAGACAGAAGCAAATGGAGACGTGCAGTTGAAATCCTATGTTCCACTAGGAACCCAAGGGAACAACGAACGAACGAGAACTGCTGAAAAAATTACTGTACAACTACCCAGTTTCTGTCTGGAACATTTCCGTTCGAGGGACCAAGATTTCATGTTGATTTGCTCAGAAGTAGAAATAGATGCCTCAATAATTAGTCATCATCACTTTTTAATCTTACGGGAGATATTATTTTTGGAGAAGATACAGGCACCTGTATTACAATTAACTAACCAAATTGATACACATATCGTAATAGACAGAAGTGATTTTCCTAAACATCTAAACATCCTTAAGAATAACCATAATCATACAGGTGAAGTTATCAGTTTTAAAAGCCTAGTCATAGATTAACATAATCCTACGTAAATTCATTAATGTGTAAAGACAATGAAATAGACAAATAAAACAATTTCGGTTCCCTTGTATTAGATGGATGTTCTAAGTAGATGGAAAAGTTACGACAATCGAGGCAAAATCAACCACAACATCTGAAATAATTGCGTCTCTGTCTTGATTTACATAAAGAACTAGTACGAAGCCTAAATAAACTGAAGGAATTCAAATTTCAAAAGAAACTCTCAAATACATGTTTACATTTGTATCATTTATTATGGTAATGAAGACATGCAGGTATAGACCGCTTAAAAGTCATAAAAAAGTTCATTTGAAGTATTTTTGTGGCTTTGATTAAAACACAGAATTTTTATGGATATAAAGGGTGAAAATAATTACGGGCTCGTAGGGGTTAGCAACAAGTTATCACGCAATCAACAACTTGTTCAATAATGGTGACTAATAGAATATATAAATGAGTTCTATATGAATACCAAAATACAAATAGGTCAAATGACAAAATCAAATGATAATTACGAAGATAAGGGAGCTCAGTTGTAAGACTTTATATATATATATATATATATATATATATATATATATATATATATATATATATAATGTATTTTTACGTAATACATCTATTCTTCTCAATCATCATTTTACAAGCCGTTGATTACGTAACAACTTATCGCTAACGCATACGAATCGAATGACCTTGAATTCTTAATGTAAATGTAGAACTTAAGCACCGTGGTGGAATGCAACTGCATATTAGATAAGTTTATTTTAAATATCACACAGTGATGCGGTATCAACGAGTGGATGACAAGGTTTCGAACACAATTTTTATTGCTCATATTATCTCAGTTGTTAATACTGCATCACTGTGTGATATTTAAGAATAAACTTATCTAATATGGATCTTGAATTCTGTAATCATTTTCATTCCTTCTATCTCTCAAAATTCTGTATTTAGTGTAGCCCAACAATTTGTGTTGCTAACTTCTACTGAAAAATATACAACTATTTAACAATGAAGATAACCAGATAAGTAATACATATTTCAATGAAAACAAATAAAGATGAATAATGTTGTTTCGTTAGACGTAATAAAATGTGCTGCCAATAAGGACTGTGACCTTTAGCTACTTAAGATTTCTTCACTACCTTAATTGACTATTATAAAAGTTAGTCATCAATTTTTAAAAACAAAATAGGTACATTTCGTATAACATGTATAACATTTTTCACAACAATGTATGTATTCAACAACGCAACAATAATAATGAAAAGGAAAGTCTTCTTTTGCAAACTAATAATAATAATCACTTAGCATCAAACAAACCTTAAGTTCTTGAATAGAACCCTTGTGTATAAGGGAGCACAAAAGACGCGGTTCATCAGCACAGTCACCTATCACACCAGCATAAGTACAATCTTCTTTCTCTGATACTGGCTTAATAATTCTTTTGACGATATCTGAACCAATACTGTATTGCCATAAACAAATACGATTCACCTTAATTCAAAAAATCAAAATGTTGAAGTAAACAATGAATAGAAGTAAAACAATTGAATAGGCAATAAAGAAGAAGAATAATGACTATAAATCAACTTAATTTTGTAGGGCTCTAAATATGATACTATCTAGATATTATTGAATGGTTGGAGGTAATCCGCAGTAAACATGAAACTTGCAGCAAACAAAGGACTATCTAGGCGTCCCTGTTGGATATAAGTGTGATTACAACCAAGGACTTATTGGATGAAAGAAAGTAAGGGACTGAAGATAACACGGCGCATTTTCACATAGACAGACAGACAGATAATATGACATCCTAATAAGGACCTTGGCAAACCTCTATCAACTCATCAGATGCGTCCGAAGTAAAAGTGCATAATTTGAAAGAAAATATTTATATAAAAGTAATGAAATGTTAAAAAAGAACTGCACAGGGTAACGTTCTTGTATGTGTTACAAGAAAGCCTCTCAATTTCTCATAGGAGTACGCATAGTTAGGTTAAACCAATTTCTGTACATAATTTCGTCGAGATAACTGTAAATCATCGTATTTCTTGACCTATTCACCTCTAATATTCTTTTTAAGGTGACTCCAGAAACTTTCCATGGAATTTGAATAAGTCTCATCGAAAGGATTAATGAAATCGTGTGTTATCGACCACTTTGTGAATGTAACCCAGGGATGACAGTTGAATGTAGCTACTCCACTGGTTTATGTGGATGGTGGTGACAGGTAGGTCTAAACGTTGGATAATGGGCGATAAAACATTGGCACTATAATCAAGGGTTGTTTGGATATATTACTTCAAAAGGGTGAGGTCATATTGTGGTGAGACTTGGCTGTTAGCCGAAATTGGTGGACAGTAATACACGTTAATGTTTATGTCCCCAATATTGGTCGTGAGAAAAATGAGAACAAAGACTTTGAGAAGGCGGATGCAGTTAACATATAGATGATCTGACATTCAAGAAACAGCTACAAAGAGATGCAAGGTTAAGTTTCTGTGAGAAAAAACCAATCAGAAGACTGTGTTTTTCTGCTAACAATAATCTATAATGTGTACATGAAAATCTATATGTGTTGATTTCCATAATAAACGATCTGTTGCCTAGCCCTTGTCTTCTGTTGTTACAATACGATCCAAAAACCCAATGTTTTCTCCATTCCTATGAGTATGTTATCCAAACAGTACTTAAATATCAGATCTGGATGGAATTCGCTAAGTAATTGGTGTACAGCATCTGTAAATGCGCTTATCTACTAGACAATCATCTGACTGGTTGCTCAAGGCTGTTAATCCATTCACCGGATAGTTTCGTTTTGGGCTGCTATAGTTTAGGGTCACCCAATTTTCTCCTTTTTTGGTTACACCCTCCACTGGGACTACAAAGCACTTCTGTGGAAATCGAGTATTTAAAGCAAGTCTGGAATAAAAATGATCTGTTGAACCATAATCAAATGACCAATTGCCTTTTTTTCAGTTCACTATATTCACATTGAAGAGTATTTTAATCTAAAATCAAATGATCTCACGCAACCTAAACCAACTGTTTGATTCAATACGGTTAAAGAAGTAAATGGCATCAACTAATAAAGAAAAGTGGCCAGAATATTTTTGATTCTACCTTAATCATCGACAGTTTAAAATCTCTGTACTATCAGTCATATCTAAGGCCATATACAATGTTCATCAACCACGAAATTAGTCCTAGGTTTGATCCCCGACTGATGCACTCCTGAACCTCAAATAAGCCAGCAGTCAGGTCGGTAAAGACGGAAGGTTGGATATGAGGCTAGCAACCTCATTCCGTAAAAATAAACACCACTGCTACTGAAACTGCAAAGCTCTAGCTTGAAGCCAGCCCTATGTTCTACTCGGAACGTAAAGAAATAGAATTTTTAAAAGTAATACAACTGGAAATAACCAATACTTTGAACAGCTGTACATTATTTTCGGCACAAATTACGGACTGATGTCCACTTCCAGTATCAATTAGTAATATACACAAGCTAAATCAACGAGGACCGTTAACGTAAGTACTTGCAAAAAAGTGTGTTAACTGAAATCATCACATAGTGGAGCAAGTGATTAGCACGAAGAAAAGAAGAATTACATGAGAGCACACAAAATTGTGAGAGAAAAGGCATTAATTAAGGGGTAGAAGCCGACCTACTTTCTTTATGACTTTTTATCACTTCTATAGCTGCTGTCTAATTTTGACAAAAACGGTATTGAATAATATCAACTTTAAATCTCTGAGATAAATACTGTTTAGTACTTTCATCTATCTAATAGGATTAAAAAGAAATTGAGTAAATTGGCAGATTTTCCAAATAAAGACCTAACAGTTAACTACTCAAACTTGATTTCAAATCTTTAAATATTCCCATTTACCACATTATTATTACTATTATTATTATTATGATTATTATTATTATGATTACTATTATTATTTGATCCACTAAATCACCGTCATTGGTTAAAATTTTATATATATAAGTCTATGTAAATTAGAGTAAAGCCTGAAGAAGATCTAATTGAAAACAATATTGTTCGCTTATATGTCTTGTTCTAATACTCAAACTTGGTCAACTTACAAACATGTATAACAATACACAATAATTAAATATTTTTGAATAATTAATAAAATAACCGTGAAACTACCTTACCTCTTCTAACCAACTACCAGTAACAACCAATTGGTTATCCCGTACTTCTGGTTCACTGACAAATCGTACTCGAGACAATTTCATTGAAACGAATTTCAAAATTGAACTTTTATCCATTTTTCAATCAACTGGTAAACGTTATCTGAAGCAAAGAGAATACATGATTACGAAGGTGGACAGTAGATTAGTTCTAGAAGAAAATATGATTCAACTACAGTAATAAGGACTCATTGGATAAGCTGGAAATAAAAAAAAATACGTTACAGTGAAGGAAACTTCGTAGATCTCCTATGCAGGCTTTAAAAGAAGTAGGCGTGATTACGTTTAACTCAAAGGGTCGAGTTTGTTCAAATCATCCAAATCCTGGCTAACTATGTAGATGGCCCTGTTATGAATAGAATCAAATTCGTCATCTGAAAATTACGGAATCCAATGTGGAAATGCATATTGATTTCATCTGAGAATTTATAATGTCCAGATCACAATCTGTGAGATATCTGACACTGCAACCGGTAAATCGCGCCTAAGATAAATCAGGATTGGTAATATGGTTTGCGTTATTAGCAACCAAAGTATTCATGATGCCCCTGATTTTAAGAAGAAGAAATAAACCTTTAATGAAAAGATATAAGTATAAAACTTGGGCACTGTGGTAGACTATAACTCCATTATAGATAAGATTTTATTTTGAAAAATTAGTGTTGTACAGTTATATTAACTGATGACCACATTTCGAGCACAAACTATTGTCACTCATAATCATATCAAGTTACTCACACAACTGTTTTTCTTCATTTATATACATGTGTGGAATCGATTAGATATTGGATTAAAAATCAATGAAAAGAAGTGACATAATTGTGAAAACTAACAAATTATTTCTCTGAACACAAAAATACTACTTAAATTTGAAAAGCAAGCAGAACGTTTTTGTTATTCAAAGATAAAAGTAGCCTGCGAATACGAAATAAAACAGTAGATACATTCTGCTTGTTATCAAGAAATAAGTCAATTCTAGTACTGATGTCTGCAAGTATACAGAAATTAGGAAAGAATGGATAGCGCTGAACAGTTTATTAAGCCCAAAATAATTATCTAACGGCTGTTAGTAACATGAAACCAAAAGTTAGTAAAAGCGAGTGGATTTTAATCGCCTCATGCGAAATGACAAACGCAAGAAGACTAACTCCGGAGAACTCTGAATATGATGAAGGGCGAAAGCTGATCAAATGCTGAATGACAAGAAGTCTTCGCAACGACCGTGAACAGTGGTAGGCAACAAAAGACAAAGAGATGGAAAAGGCATGGGCGATAAGTAACACCAGACAACTATTTAGGCTTATCAGGCGCATAGGTGGCAAAAGGCAAATGATAAGTGGGACAATTTCTGATAAAAGTATCACCATAATTAGCCCTCAGAATAGACGACTGAGACGTTGGAAAGAGCGCTTCGAGGAGCAATTTAAATACCCGACAGCCAAGCTCAGCTTAACCAAAAATCAACAACTCCCTGAATGAGATATACACACCTATCCACCGTCCCTACCTGAAGTTACAAAAGCTGTCTCCAGTTTGAAACAAGACAAAGCAGCGGGACCTGATGGAACTACTCCAGAGGTGTATATGGACCGTGGAGACAATTTGCTGTTTGAGCCAACTTAGGTATTAAGCAGCGTCTGAGTATCAGAGGAAATCCCATAAGGCTGCAGTAAATAGTTGATTATCCAAATACATAATGGAGATAAGTCTTCCTGTGATAATCACGGAGGAGGGGAATCAGCTTGACCAATATGATCTCTGAAGTTCTAGGCTCAATAATCACATCTAGACTGAACGGTGCTCGGAAGAAACATACACGAGAGAACCAGGCAGGCTTTGGACCAAGAAGAGGATATATTGATCATATATTCACCCTTCAACGCATTCTGGAACATAGGCATACTTAACGGCGTTCAACAGTCATCGTATTTCTAGACCTGGAAGCGGCACTCAATTGAGTCGACCGAGGAGTACTATGGTGATGTTTAGCTGTGAAGGGAATACCGAGAAAATACATCACATTGTTCAAGGCACTCACTCTGTTCGAACTCATGCAGCCAGCCAGGTGACAGTCTACGGAGTGTTGTCATCTCAAACGATGACAACCAATGGTATACATCAAGGATCACCATTGTCCCGATTCAATTTATTTACATCACAGATGCATGAATGAGTATAACCGTGATTAACTTTAGTAACTTGTTACCAGGGGACAGACCCGTCGACTTGGAGTATTTGGATGGTATTTTAACAAATCTTGGTGATTTCTGAACACCTTGAACAAAAGATTTCGAATATTTAACATGCGATTCTGTCCTGTATTTTCTTTCTTGGTATTCTCTCCTGTCAAATGTAAAATGATTCTGCAGGACTGTATTGCACTGACTCCTTGTTTAAAGATAAAGAGTGAAGTTGCTGGGCGTATTGACCACCTCACCTCTCGATTGGGAAGTGGCATCACCCCTAATAGACTGGTTTCTGACTAAAACTCCCTACAGATACAGAAGGCTCGTTTGGCACTTTCCAATCCACACCATCTCTGTCGATTAAGCGATATCCAGCTGTGTACTGCTCAGGAGTTCGCTTTGTTCTCCTTTATGGCTGTGAGACATGGCCGTCGAAGGCAGAAGACAGGAAGAGGTCGACTAGCTGTCTTTGATCATGAGTGTCTGCATTCTATCTCCCATGTCAGGTATTGTAATATGTTGAGTAATATTGGGGTTAAGCATCGAGTTTTAGATGAGGATAGCAAGTCAGCCGATGAGGTTGTGAAGGTCAACCGATTGAGATGGTTAGGACGTGTGTTACGCATGCTTAGCCATCACTTATTATCTCTGTTTTGAATCTCTTTTTTCTCTGATTTCTTGCTTTGTGTGCTACATCCAGAGTGGTAACTCGAACTGCTGCACATATGTACAAAGTACTACGCTGAAACCAGTCAGTCAAAATAAACATTGTGCACAGTACTATGAATACAGGATGGAACTATTAACACAATGCTAAATATCAATCATTTTTGTGACCAATCACACAATGATTATATAACAGTTACAGGGAACGTCTGAAGTCATTATGAATAGTTGGTCGTATTCTGCCAGCTTGCACTATTGTTCGTACGATTATTATTATCATCATCAGAAACAAAACGCAGTAAAAAGAAATATAATGCAAGACCAAAACTTGGTTTATCCCATACTCTATTAATGAAGTCGAAAAAATTGGTACAGAATACCTCAGTAGTATCAAATTTTTCCACATTTAAAAAAAATCATATCGAACGAACATTTAATAAGGCAAATAAGAAGAGAAGACATTCTTGTCAAGAAGTTTGTATCTTTACACAAGTTAACATGAAATTATGAATACAGTAAGTAAATAAGTAGACATCAATTTACAATACAAATGAATGATGATGATCATCATAATGATGTTCTAGGATTCTTCGTCACTAAGCCGCATTGATTCATCCTCATGAAATGACATTATATTAGATTGCATATTATGCTGATTATTTATACTTGTGACAGCAGCAGAGGTTCTGTTATTAGTCATCGATGGTGTATACGAACCATGTCCAGTAGTAGTTACACTGTCAATCATTGTTTCACTGGTTGTACGATCAAATGATACAGTATCACATGGTAATGTTGAATTAGAATAATGTACAGATGTGGTTACAGTGTTCACAGGCTCGGTCACTGACGAACCAATTGAATTAATACTGTCAATGCCAACACCAGCATTTGTATCAACGTCAGCGACAATACTATCAGTTGATATGTTTGCAGCTAAATGACTTGGACGAACAGGTAGCGATGTAGCTCCTGATGTTGCTGGTGATGATGACAACGGCATATTTTTGCGTAGATAAAATCTCCTTCGTAGCACTGTTGACTCATTGAAAGAGGTTAGAGCATGACTTAGTGAAAGACTTAAAGGCTGAAAGTATACAAAAAGATGAATTAAGAAATACAGCAGCTATAACAACAAGCTTATGAAACAAACTCTTCTAACAGATTAAATTTTTGCAATTAATAGTGTTCTCTGAGCTGGTTGGTTTAGTTGCGGAGCTTCCTATCCAAGAATTATATATTCTTTTTATAAAATGCTTCACAAACTGAAAAAAGTATTTCTCTCATCAAAAGGTAATCGGCATCTTTATTAGTAGTCTGTTAGCACAAACAACACCACTGAATATCAATGAGATGCGCATTAGAGACTGGTCCTATTTAGGTAGATAGTTTACCTGGGGTTCTAGCGGGAAGTTGTGATCATTGAGGTACAATAGGCCGGGCCGAAGACATTTGCTAGCGGTCGCGCTATACTGGCAGAAGTTGGAGTTCATGGGCCATTGGGTCGGGTCCCAGTGGCTTGATTGTCTGCGAGCTCCACTTTGTAACCAGAAGCTCCTGGGTTCAAACCCTAGCGGTGGATGCGTGCTGTGAAGTCCCACACTACGACGGGACAGCTGTCCGGTAATCGTAGATTTTCCAGTTGGTCTCTAACCAATGTCAGCTGATAATGAAATCCTGTAACAAATTTTAAATCTGTTGCATTTACTGAAAAATTGACAGTATCATCAGTTTAGACAAAGAACGATTCAATCCAGAGGCCTTCAAGTTATGAACTACACTTAATGATGAACAGTTGATTAGTTCGAGGTGGAATACAAGTCTTAGAATCACGATGCCACGATGTCCTTTCATAAAACTAAATCATGTCTTAGTATACGCAAAATTTTAAATAAGACAACAAGTAACCATGACTCATTCCATTTAGCACTACATATATTAAGGGAGATTTCTAAAATGTGATATGAAACTGACTGTGAAAACCATATCGACTTTTGAGACAAAGACAACAGTTTTCCAACCAATTCCACGAGGAATATTAAGTGTTTAAAAAAGAAAACTCAACTCAGCGTGGAAATGACACTCTTCATCTTGTCCTCTTACCTAATATTTAAAGAAATTCTGACTAACAAATGAACATTTACCGTAGAGAAACCAACATTAACGATATTACGAATTTCTCCTAACAAATAACAAGTAATAATGTCAAAATGGTGTATTTCTATAATAAATATTAGGCCAAACCTGAATTTCACTGACTGTTGACTTCATATTCTGTTTTAGAGACGTTTCCGATCCACCTGACTTCCTTGATATATGTGCATCTGTAACTAAATTTTTTAGAAAAGAACAAGAAAATAACCCAAAATGTAAAGGACTTAGGTAAGTTAATATCAGTAAAAAGTTTGAGCATTGTGGATTAGATCAAATAAAGTATAATTATACTTCAATAATTTACACACAATGATAAGTTTTGTTATTGGTAATATTTCGAGCAAAATTATTGCCCGTGTTCACACCAACTGTTGGAATTGTTTTATTCACACATTTATGATTTGTACTCAAATATATAGTTCATTATTATAATTTTTTGCTCATTCATGTTTTGTGTGTGTGTGTTCAGAATTATATTCCAAGTTGTTGGTAGTTGTACTGAGTCACCCTTGTTACGTGTATCCGGTGTGACTTTAATGAATATCGATTCTCTTAAGAGTCTTTCTTTCCGTTCGTTCATGTTTGGTTTTAGAATACACTCATCGTTCCAATCGACATTGTGGTTTTCGTCCCATACATGTGCAGCTATCGATGAATTTTTCTCAAGATTTTTGTAAACTTGTGTCCCTGTTGGTTGACCTTTGGTTAGGCGTTTATGTTGATTCACTCTTATTTTGAGTGATCTGGACGTTTGCCCCACATATATAGTCGGACAGTCAGCACAGGATATTTTGTAAATCAAATTGTTTTTATCCATCATTTTTATGGGATCTTACAGTGGATTTATTTAATCAAAAAAGCAACAATTTTAAGCCTAAATTTCTGAGGAATTGAAGATGATATATTCTACATAACAAATTATACAAGTGCTTATTAATGGATAGGGCGACGAAGGAGTTTTTGGCCGACATTCTCGTATCTGATTGATTTCTTGAAAGGAGTTTGGTTGTTACATACCATCGCTCCTAATAAATTCATAGAAATTCCAAATTTATGCTTAATAATAATAATAACTTCCTAAATGCTTAAGGAAGTTAAGATGTTCCCAATAATGTTCTCTTTATTTTTCAAATGAACTATTTGTTGACACCAACTCATACTTACATAGTATAACATTCTAATGAATAACGTTTTAGTAATTGACTTCCTAGTTGTCTGTCACTCGCCTCTATTACTTGCAACATAAACTGTTGGTACACATATCCCAAGATAACCTGTAGTCAGACCTTATTCGCACACAGTGGCAGGACGATTACCTGTAGTAACTGGATTTTAATTTTGGTAAATGAAAGCACTAAACACCAGGATACAGGTACTTCCAATTGACAAAACGCAAATTCTGCATTCCATCGTCAGCTCTTATCAAACAACTAACATTATATACTCAAACTTGCTATCCCCGTCAAATGACAAACACGTTTCAAATATTTTACGCTCATTTTTCTTTTTTTTCTTTATGAGCCGTTGGGATAAGTTTTGTAAGTACTCTACATCTATTTGCCAATTTGTTTAATTGACACTTGACCCATGATATTCAATTATCAATAACTATTTCTCAATTAACAACGTACTTTTGCCCATCTCTTCATCTAGACCAGATTTATTCCTTTCAATCTGGGAATCAGTGTTTCCAGGCTCTGATGAAGCAAGCTGTTCAATGTCACCAGCTAACACTGTGATTTGACGTAACATAGCTTTAGCTTCTTCATGAGTTTCAGGATAATCAAGGCATCTATTTGCCGCCAAGACAGAATCTGTATAATTTCCTCTGCGTAAATGATAATTTGCTATATGTTTATAGGCTGCAGCTAAATCTGATTGTTTTTGTACCTATTCAAGAAAAAATGAATTAAGAGTAAGAGGAATAATTAGTTATATGATCAAGGCTAACATAGAATCATCACAGTAAAAAGATATATTACTTAAAACAGGAATAAAATCCGCATAAAAGGTGAACTGGTCATTTCAATCTTGATATAAGTATAAAACTTGGGCGCTGTGGTAGAGTATCACTCCATGGATAACATTTTATTTTGATAAATCACACAGTGTTGTACAGTTACATTAACTGATGACGTTTCGAGCTCATAATCATATCAACTTGATATGTTAGTATAACATATTACGTAAGAGTATGGATGTAGTGAACCAGTTGTTAGAAAAGTAACAATAGAAATGTTGTGAAATAACTTCCTAAACCTTCTTCCAAACAGTTTACTAGTTAGTTTACTTCTGTGTCAGTTGTTATGTCATCATTTCACTCGTCCCTACGTTGTCAATCTTCGGTGTCTATATATACTTCTGTTCAACAGACAAAACAAGGTTTCCATTTTATTAATCCTATATGTAATTTGACCTATCTGCAGCTGAAAGGAAATCTCAAATTAAAGTGTTCACATTTTGTATACTGTAAATCTTCTTTCTGCTTTACAGAAGATTATTAGGGGAACGTATTGTTTATCTGTATTTCAATACTCATTAATTTGCAACATAAAATACAGAATATGCGTCCATGTAATTCACCATAAGTCACTAGAAAAAAGTATTAGTAACATGTTACAATTATTATTAGTGTTTCCTTTAGTTTCTAGAGGAACATAAAGCCTCAGCCGCAGGTCGCCATTGCGTTCGATTTTCTGCCAACGTTTTCACCTGGCTCCACGTCTGCCTACATGTTTTCATCTCCTCTTCACATGACCTCCTCCATGTCATTCTAGAACTGACGACCAGCTCACCACCTCCCGTTCGGATTTCACTCGACAGCCTGTCACGTGATGTCACTTGATGGTTTGTTCTCTCAGAGTTATGGCCAGTCTAATCCACCTCCGTTTCTTCCTGCTCATTCGTTGCACAATCGGTTCCTCCTGGGTTGGTTCGCTTACAGAGATCCCCGTTGCTGTTTTTTTCTGACCATCTGATCTTGAGTGGTATTGAGCGAAGGCAGCTATTGACGAAGGTCTGTAGTTCTTTCGAAGAGCACTTCGTGACTCACCAAGTCTTTCGTCCGTATAGAAGCACTGACTTCCCATTGGAGTTGAAAGTCCGGATCTAATTTTTCATGCTGAATGCTGTTCACCTCCACACGGACTTGAGAGAAATGAAAGCTTGCCTTGCTTTGATATCCTCGTCAGTTCCGCCTGTAGTTGAAAAGATGCTTCCCAGGTAAGTAGGTAGGTAGGTGAATGAGGTTGCCTCTTTCAGCTTTCTCCCATTTATGCTGATTGCTGTCAGTTGTTGTTGACGTTGCTGTTGGCCAGGAATCTTCATTACCTCTGTTTTCTTTATGTTCACCTGAATTCATATCTTCTCTCTTTGCTTCTTCCACCAACTTGTTGCTTTCCACTTACCTATCTTCCGCTTTGTGGAAATCAAACAAATATCATCGGCGAAGTTCAGACTTTCCAAGTTTTTCGCGTTGGTCCATTTTATGCCTGCCTCCTCGTTACCAACCGCTGTCTGTCACATAATCCAGTCTACTCCAATCAGCAAAATCATTGGAGATAGTAGACAACCAGCTTGTCTGACTCCCGTCTTCACTTAGAGGGATTCCGTGAGGTTCCCGTTGTGAATTACTTGGCATGCAGCATTATCATACAACTGTTGGATGAGGTGTATAATTGTTGGCAGCACCCTGTAGTAGCGGAGCAGTTGCCAAATCACCACTCGAACATGTTTCAATACAATATTATCTTAGCCTTCAGTCTTTTTCTGCAGGTCAGTCACTCAACTCATCAATAAAGTAAGACAGAGAGAAGTTCACTAATTATAAAATCAATCTGACATCTTAACTCTCTTCTTCAAACCAGTTATGAGTATTACTACCATTAAACTTTATCATATAATACGAAGAATAAACAAATACCAACGCGCTGATCACTATCCCTATAAAATCTGTTAATTACTCCAAAAGGAATCAGTTAATGAGGTCAGATGATGAAGTTACAAAACACTGTGGCTAGATTATATTTTATTATTAAAGAGCTTCGGTGGCTTGGACATGTGCTGCAGATGTCATCCCAGAGGCTTCGGTATAGGTCTCAGTTCACTAGTCATGGGACGGGATGGAAAAAGCAGAATTGGTCAGCTCATGACGTTACGTCGTGGGATGAAGGATATTTGTGTTAGGTTAGCATCGGTTGGCACGTCACGACCCCCTGGGTGGAATCTGAAAGATGGCTCGAACGTTATCCGATATGGGCAAGAATCGTAATCAATGGCGAACGTGATGCAATTTCCTTCTTTCTTCCCTTTCCGATGATAATTGACGAATGATGTTTGAAACTTGTTAAATATGACTGCTTTCTTTCCAAATGTAGTTCTTTCTCCGTTTTCTATTTATATTTTAACTTTTAATCTATGTTGTTCTATTATTATTGTGTGGTGGATCTTTTTGGTGCCATATTGTACCAAGCTTTTGTGTCTAAATAAATAATAAAATAATTACTAAATAGGTTTGAAGATATTCGAAAAGCATCCTACAACACTGTTTTATCAAGCATAATGAGAAGCAGGGGAAGGACTAAGTTACAACTTAAGAACTAAAATAATCCAAAAGCTTAGATGCAGTTAGAATATAAATTCGCATTATGCTATTCAGACAAATGTGCGATGTTTTCGGTCTCTATGCCCAGTATTAACGTTTTATTGATTAATTACAAAGGTTCATTTGAATTAAGCATTCGGTTTTCACGCGTTTGACTCCCACCCCTGACTGACTGGTTTCAACATAGAACTTTGCACTGATTACAGCAGTTCCAGTCGCCGCACTTCACTCAGCACACAAACCAAGAAAAGAAAGTAAAGCGAGAAGCAAAGTAGAGACAGTAAACAGAGATATGAGGCATAAAGATTAGTAATATCAAAGAACAATATAATTATATTGGGTACTGTTAGTCACAAGGAGAGAATACATCTGAGCCATTGAGAACGATTTTGAGCTATATTACTAATTGTCCCCAGCCATTGGTGTTTATCGTCCTGAGGACCCCAACCAGAAAGTCTACACCTTCCTCATACTCCATTTACTTTAATATCATCAGTCCTCACACAATAAGTGTGCCTTTTAGTCCGGTACATGAAAAAAAACTGTCCCGGGTAACTAAGCTATTAAAATTAATGTTTTTAATCTGAAGATAATTATCATAGAAAATCGCATTTAGTAAACTATTTTATGACAATATAATCAATGAACTTAGCAAAATGTATGCTGAAATAATTGATACTGGAATAAAGCTTACTCCATAGCGGTGGCCAAGTTTGATAAATTCAGTGTATGCTGCTGCAGCCTCAGCATCTTCACAACATTTCTCAAAACACGCAGCTAGTCGAATCAGCGCCCCACCTTCTATATCACCAACACAATATGCTCGCCAATAGCATTTTTTCGCTTCATCTAAACGGTTCAGCTTCTCGTAAATTTCACCTAATGCTACAATTAAACGTGAATCTGTAGGCACCAGATATTGTGCTTCTCTAGAAGAATAAATAAAAAAAAGAAACATACAAGGAAGTTAGTTAAATGTTCAATATAAATATGAATTTGTAATTTTGTATGATACCTGTATGTGAAAACCGATCATTGTTTATCAAGTCAATCCCTTTATGAATACTGACAAACAAGCATAAAAACTGAATGAGATTTAAAGATTTTACGATAATTTGAGATAGATGACACTAGAAACTGTACTCATGTGAACAAGACTTTCTCTCGATAGCCTCCTCACATGCAAGTAACAGAATATCAGTATCCTTCTAATAACATACCATTTTGAAATGAAGCAAATCCCTATACAGTAGACTTGCTTTAACAGACATTACGAAATCACACTGATGAACCAATCAATGTAGATTGGTAAAAACTGAGTCTATTCGATTGCCACTATTTAACAGCATTGTGTATTGACAAGCAAACTGTTCACAAATTTCGTACAATCGGATTGAAATAATCTTCTCAATCCAATCTTTGGCTTCAATTTACTCTGTTATGCATAGAGGAAACCAAACTACCAACCAGAATTTATTCGAAAACGCAGCATCCGATGTCTTCCTTTAAAGTTTCTCACATACCAAGTCATTATATTTCTTGACCTAAAGGCAGCATTCGACTCTGTCGATCGGGAAGTTCTCTGGAGATGCTTGGCTGTAAAGGGAATTCCAAGAAAATATATTGCACTGATTAAGGCACTCTACTCGTACTCATACAGCCAGGTGAGGGCTTGCGGCGAGCTGTCATCTGAACTGATGACGACCAGTGGTGTCCGTCAAGGATGCCCATTATCTCCTTTTCTATTCAACTTCATCATAGATGTGTTAATGGACTTAACCCTAGGTGACTTCAGTGACTCAGGAATTGACTTGCTACCGGGGAATAATCTCGTTGACTTGGAATATGCAGACGATATAGTCCTTCTAGGCGAGGACGCTGACGAAATGCAGAGTCTTCTAAACACCTTGAGCCGCAATCTACGAATGTTTGGCATGCGATTCGCTCCCGCCAAATGCAAGATGATGTTACAGGACTGGACTACATCGACGCCAAGTTTAAAAATAGGAAGTGAAGTGGTAGAGCACGTCGACCGCTTCACTTATTTGGGAAGTACCATCAGCCCCAACGGGCTGATCTCTGACGAAATCTCAGGACGAATACAAGGGGCTCGTTTCGCATTTGTTAGTTTACGCCGACTCTGGCGTAGACGAGATGTTCGACTATCGACCAAAGGGCGGGTGTACTGCTCATCAGTCCGCTCCGTCCTCCTTTATGGTTGTGAGACCTGGCCACTGAGAGTGGAAGACATGAAAAGACTAGGTGTCTTTGATCATAGGTGCCTGCGTTCTATTTCCCGTGTAAAGTGGCATAATAAGGTGAGCAACATGGAGGTTAGGCGTAGAGTTCTAGGTAAACAGGGGAAATCAATCGACGAAGTCGTGAAGCTACAAAGACTGAGATGGTTAGGACATGTGTTACGTATGCCAAGCCATCGCCTCCCTCGACGAGCTATGTTAGCGGATATAGGGTCAGACTGGAAAAAAGCTAGCGGCGGTCAAACAAAAACTTGGCATCAGTCAATGAAATCCACAACAGTTGGTCTAAGCCACGTAGAAAGGTGTAGACTTCCAGGCTGGGGTCCTCGGGACGGTAAAAATCTATGGTTGGAAACAATTGGTGACATGGCTCAAAATCGTTCTCAGTGGCGCAGATGCATCCACTCCCTGTGACTTATGATCTCCAATGAAACTGTTTTGTATTTCTTTATTACTCCTTTGTCTCACACCTCTGCTCACTGTTTCTATTATGCTTTTCTTGTACTTTCTTCTCTTGCTTCGCGTGCTACACGGAATGTGACGACTTGAACTTCCGCACATTTGTGCAAAGTTCTATGTCGAAAACAGACAGACATACCAAGTAGTACCAGTGGGAGTTCGGTGGACCAGTCATTTTAGTCAGAGAGGTGGCAAGTGAAGTCTTAAGTTACCGGTGAAATAGTTCAATCATCCCATTTGAAATAAGGTGATACAAGGTCGTTCGTATTCGTTTAATTCCCAATAATTCGGTGAGATGTTGAAAAAGACGGCTTCTGAACTGGGCACCTCTGTCTGTAGTAATAATGGACAGAAGACCAATCCAGACGTATTCAGTTTTTGACCAGAACTTTAGCAACTATTTCGGCAGATGCGTTTGCTAGCGGAATTGCTACTGGCCAACAAGTTAATCCATCGAAGCAAGTGAAAATTTAGCTGAAAACATTGGAGAGAGGCAGTGGATCAATCACATCTATATGTAAGTGGTCAAATCTTGAGTTGGGGTTAGGAAAACGATCAAACAGCAAATTGGAGTGACGACGGATCTTGACAAGATAAAAATTTCTGCGTCCACTTCGTAGCATCGCTGTTTATGCTTGGCAATGTAAATCTTCCCTTCAGCAAATTGGCGGTAGCACTGGCTCTGGGATGTGAAAGATTATGAAGTTCCTTGATAAATTATGTGTCTCACAGCTGCTGGAACAACATGTTTTTGTTGTTTATATACAGTGAACTTTTCTATGCCAACTAGTGTCTGTAATTAATACAACCGAGGTGATTTTCTAATCCCTTTGAATCAGTATTACGACATGAAATCCTGCTGAATTGAAGTTATGTGTCCTTGGTAAAAATCAACGAGTGATATTCAAACTCTAGAAATTGGAATTCGGATTACTAACATCTCTGACGGCTTCTTGTGTAGACACTTTCATAAAGAAGTGTGATTATGTTGGATGACGCCATCTTTATGTGTGTATACATAATTCGTTATTAGCTTACAAGTTTCAAGCGTCGGCTGGGTAAAAAGTGGTTCTATGGCTAGCTGAAGACAGTAACAGTTTATAATGTTGTGGTCTAGATCTTTCTAAAACTTATGCCACTCACTTTTCATTGAGATCTTAATATCTTTCTTCACATGTTAATCAATGATTTCGAAAGGTATTATCAGAAATAATCTCAATTTACTGATTTGACTTTCATCATTACAAGTTGAAGCGAGGAAGGTGTCGTGTATGCCAGCATTCGATACACGTGTGTATCTATAGTCCAAATGAAACTGATGTTCACTTCAGATTCGAATGTACACTTATCAGTGTCGTAATCAGAGATATAAGTATAAAACTTGGGCACTGCGGTAGAATATCACTCCATTCTGGATAACATTTTATTTTGATAAATCACACAATGTTGTACAGTTATATTAACTGATGACCACATTTCGAGCACAAACTATTGTCACTCATAATCATATCAAGTTACTCACACAACTGTTTTTCTTCATTTATATACATGTGTGGAATCGATTAGATATTGGATTAAAAATCAATACGAGATAATGTACATTCAGAAATTATAGTACGAGTGTTATTGATCAATTACAGTTAGGAGGGAAATAAGACGAGCATTTTTGCAGTTATAATAAGCTTCTTGTTAGAGTGTGGTGATGTGCTTGAATTGAAACAGAATTTTGAGATTATTTATTATCCTCTTCTGATTTGACTGACTGGCGGTAATAATATCTTCCGTATTTCTGGTATTTGCATTGAGTCATTTCTGTTGCATGTGTTGGGTGTAGACTCGATGAACAAGGATTCAGTAATCAACCTCTCTCTCCACCTACCTATATTAGTTTTTAGAATTTTAACCCTCTCCCACCCTATTGTGTGGTTTTTTGTTAATGCGTGAAGTGCAATAGCTGAGCTTTTTTCTAAATTACTTATCTTTTCAGGGTCAACCATTCTTCCCTTAGATAAATTCTTATGTTCTGATAATCTGACTATCCCTGACCTACTAGTTTGACCTATGTAGTTGACCTCACAGTCGTTGCAGGGTATTTTGTAAATTATATTTTGTTTAATTAGATCCAATGGGTCTTTTAGTCTACAGAGCTTGTCTCTGAGTGAGTTTGTAGATTTGAATGCCACCTTAATTCTTGCTTTATTAAGAATCCTACGAAGAGTCTCAGATGTCCCCTCCTTATATGGTATAACAGTGGATGACTTATATTCTTTCTTATTTGTTATCATTACTAGTTCCACAATCATTTTTACTTTGTTTTTGGCCTTTACTGATCTTCCTAATGAATTTTATAGGATAGTTATTCAACACCAACGCTTATACTATCTGTTTAATTTCGTCATTTACCGCCGGTCAAATCAGAAGAGGATAATAAATAATCTCAAAATTCTGTTTCAATTCAAGCACATCACCACACTCTAACAAGAAGCTTATTATAACTGCAAAAATGCTCGTCTTATTTCCCTCCTAACTGTAATTGATCAATAACACTCGTACTATAATTTCTGAATGTACATTATCTCGTATTGATTTTTAATCCAATATCTAATCGATTCCACACATGTATATAAATGAAGAAAAACAGTTGTGTGAGTAACTTGATATGATTATGAGTGACAATAGTTTGTGCTCGAAATGTGGTCATCAGTTAATATAACTGTACAACATTGTGTGATTTATCAAAATAAAATGTTATCCAGAATGGAGTCGTAATCAGAGAATTTACTAGAATATTTACGTTGTCACCAAGAGCTTTTAGAATTACATTCACTTTTTACTGCTCATCATTCTTGCTGTAATATCAAATTTTGCTTGACTGTTTTTGGACAGTGATTTTGACTACAAAGTCTGTGCAAGAACATATTCATTGGAAATAACAACCTAATATACATTTAAACAGGAATTTTATAATAACCCCATCTTAGGAAATCTGTATTTCTTTAAAACCAAGTAGTGTATTACTGGTGGGAAAGAAAAATGACAAATTTAAAAATCCCTGGTGTATTCCATATTAGAAAGGTTTATTTTGATAATCATACAGTGAGGCAGTATTCACAGCTGGATGACGTTCCGAGCACAAATTATTCCTTATAATCATACCAATCTAGTCACACGTTTTCACAGTTTGTCGTATATGTATATATATATATATATTCTTTTTGTCTCTTCAACTTCCCTTTGTATTTTTTTTGCCACTTTCCATATCTCCGGTATGGGAGTCGCGTCATTCAGATTGCAAGTGTGTGGTGTTGAATCGATAAACAAAGCTTCAGTGATTAGCCTCTGTTTCCACCTAACTACATCACTTTTTATTACTCTCACCCTGTCCACCTTATTTTGCGATTACAAACAAGTGAATGCAGTGCAACAGCTGAGCTCTGTTCCTCCTAGGTCAGTTAACTTAGCAGGGTCAATTATTCTAGGTCTAGTCAAATTTTTATCCTCCAATAATCTAGTTACCCCTTATCTACTAGCTTGATCGTTGTAATTGACCTTACAGTCATCACATGGTATTTGGTACTTTTCCTAATTCCATCTATCGGGTCCTTAAGCCGACAAAGTTTATCTCTGAGAGAGTTGTATGGTTTAAATGCCACCCTAATTCCAGCCTCACTGAGAACCCTACGTAAGGCCTCTGACGTCCCTTCTTTATACGGCAGTGCTACAGAGGCTTTCAATTCTATATTATCTTCGTTATTTTCGTCACTTTTATCGCTAGTCTCACTTTTTCTATGGTTCTTCATATATTTCTGAATAAATTCCTGTGGGTAGTCATTCACTAGGAACATTTCCTTTATTTGTTTGTTTGATTCCGTTATTTAAATCTTCTGGCCTACTACTTAGACTTTTGGTCCGATTATAAACACATTCAACTAAACCTATCTTACCGATTCTGGATCGAATGAGTTAAAGGCTAAGCATTTATTAGAGTGTATGTCGGTTTCCTATAAATGCTAGTATCTAACCCACTATCTTGTTTTCGTTTTACTATACAGTCTAGCATGGCCTACTCACCCTGTTCATTTTCTAACTCAGAACTGAATTACATTCCGTCTACTAATGAGTTTATTTTGTAACGATAGAAGGCAGGACACGGAAGACGAGGTATATTTTTCATTGATCAAACCGCTGTTTATTTGCCTACAGTTTATATTCGTTAACCAGTCACTGAGGGTGTGATTTCGGTTTACATCAAACCACACGAGATAGAACGCTCACACAACTTGCTGTTGTGTGAGTGACTTGATATGACCATGGACAATAGTTTGTATTCGAAACATAATCAATTAATATTACTGTATAACACTGTGGTTTAATCAAAATGAAATCTTGTACTTATAGGGGTTAGGTTGCTTAGAATTTGACCTATATCTATGGGGCATAATGTTAATGCTTAATATTTAAATAACTCGTATGTCGGGGTGTTCCTAAAGTCAACTATTGGCTTGATGGGTTATCCTGCTTTATGAATCTTTATAGTCCCATACATTCTACTAGAATTACTAGTTTCAGGCATAAGATTCAACCATTTTGACTCATCCAAGGATGACTTCATACAGCGTACTAGACCACTAGTTGATACTTTGATTTTATTCATTATAGTGTTCATAGGTTCCTCAATTTCTTCACACGGGCCTGTTTCAATTTGTTGACTGTCCATGTTTATGTAGTCTGATTTTTCCATGTCTACGGTTGCATTACCCTTGTCCGTCTTCGCAATCACTATGTTTTTGTCGCTTCTCAAGCTTTTTAAAGATGCTATTTCTTTCTGTAATAGGTTGCTTCTTGCTTTCTTGTGATTTATTACTTTTAAGGCACATTGTGCTCTGATTTGTTCCGCAGTAGCTTTGTCTATTTTACTTAATCCTGCTTCTATAGTAGCAATGTCGTCTAAATTGATATGATTATGAGCAATAATTTATGCTCGAAATGTCATCCAGTTAATACTGCATTGCTGACTAATATTTAAAATAAACTTATGCAATATGGAACTAATATATATTGATTACAGGGGTGAAGTCATGTATATATATATATATATATATATATATATATCGGTAATTATATAACTACTTTTCATGTCAAGAGGGAATTCTCAACACTGCCAAGTATTAGAATGCTATTAAGGAGAATACTTCAAGAGTAATAATAATAATAATAAAAGAGGCCTGCATGAGAAAGATGCCAAGAAATAAGTGCAATTAAACAAAGCAGAGAAAGCTGAGGCTCACTCACACAACTTTATAACTTGAAAACGGATTAGTACAACTTCCTTATAGTACCACCACTGTTACCAGTAAATTACCTCTATGATATAGCTACTTACCTGTAATAATAGAGAGCGAATGACGGCAAACCCAACGCTTCAAACATCTGACCCAAACCATACCATGCTCTGTAGTCATTTCTATCATAGACAAGTGCTCGTTTATAAGCATGTATAGCTGCATTTGTATTCCTTAGTTCCATATATTCGTGGCCTTGAATATTGGTACAAAAAAGGTTAAGACGAAGGATATTATTTGTTAACACTTCATAAGACTTAAATTTATTGTGTAATCAATATATACATAAAAATTAAGTGTAAGAACATTTACCATTTGTCAAAATAACGGAAACATAAATGATTACATACTATCTGTACGCTACAAGTTTGTATCGTGACGAAAATTTCCATCCGAATTGTTAATTTTCTGATAAAAATAACGTTTTATAGTGCTACCCTCGTCTGAATAAAGCTACCCGCCCCTAACAACAGTTTCAACTGTTTTTAAAATAACCATACATGCTGTAGGGAATCAGCAGGCATATATATGTGCATGTGTTATACAACGACCCGATGGGTACGGCAAACGTCAAACCAATACAATACTGAACGGTTTTTTCAAAGTGAAACTGATAATTAACCAGCGTTTCAATCTCACTACTCAGTTGATAGAGTTAGATCAATGGTTCATACGTCTATGATTAGAATTTCACCTTAACCCGAGTCTTCTTACAAATCCAAACATCAGCGCACTATAAATTTATCAGCCTGGATGGACTATCTCAATCCTGTTACACATTTTTATTCCGTTGACGTAAACGTGTTCTCTAGGTTGACAATGTCTGTGATAAAAAAGCCCATACCAACAAACAGTGCCAGCTAGAAGAGTATATTTAACTCAACACTCACAAGGGGGCTACAGGTGGTCTCCATCAATTGGAATTTCCACTGTCCTCGTAAAACACGACATTCCTGACTTTTGATGAGTTTCTAGCATCCATTTGGCATAATAAGGTGAGCAACATGGAGGTTAGGCGTAGAGTTCTAGGTAAACAGGGGAAATCAATCGACGAAGTCGTGAAGCTACAAAGACTGAGATGGTTAGGACATGTGTTACGTATGCCAAGCCATCGCCTCCCTCGACGAGCTATGTTGGCGGATATAGGGTCAGACTGGAAAAAAGCTAGCGGCGGTCAAACAAAAACTTGGCATCAGTCAATGAAATCCACAACAGTTGGTCTAAGCCACGTAGAAAGGTGTAGACTTCCAGGCTGGGGTCCTCGGGACGGTAAAAATCTATGGTTGGAAACAATTGGTGACATGGCTCAAAATCGTTCTCAGTGGCGCAGATGCATCCACTCCCTGTGACTTATGATCTTCAATGAAACTGTTTTGTATTTCTTTATTACTCCTTTGTCTCACACCTCTGCTCACTGTTTCTATTATGCTTTTCTTGTACTTTCTTCTCTTGCTTCGCGTGCTACACGGAATGTGGCGACTTGAACTTCCGCACATTTGTGCAAAGTTCTATGTCGAAAACAGACAGACAGACAGACAGCATCCATTTAAGCAGAAATTTTGTTATGGTGAATAGTGACAACACTAAAATACGACACCTCTGGGAAGTTAGTATGGTTAGCCTCAAACATCAAAGACAAGATTGCAACTACTGTTATTATCAAGAGCAGTAAGTAAAGCCAAATGTTTTACTAAAACTCAACATTTAATCAAGTATCAATTCTACAAATTACTAGTACAAAATTTATGTCAAAAGAAGTAAAATAATGTTGTAATTTTCGACATCTCTATTAATATCTATTAATATTAATAATATCCTGTCTTATGTTTCATCGGAAACGCCAATCCACATACATCTGGTTGGCTGACACAAAATAAAATGAAACGAATTCCACCGTTAATCACAAACAAATCTACTTATTTGACTAATTAAAACATTTTGTGAAAACCAAAAACTTCGTGGATAGTTCAAACTTAAAGAAAGTCATTTACCCAACAGACTTAAGTCTGTGCTTACATGAAGCAACTTTCTTCAGAAATATTCTAATTAACGAAAAAAAAAGTGTATCACAAAGCTCATGGACAGCGATAAAATCATATGAAATCACTTTCAGACAGATGCTAATGATATGCAAGAAATTCTGTTTGAAGTAATTTTTCGGTTTGTCAGTATTTATAAATGACCAGTGTATATGAGTATGATGTGCTCTGCGCCGTCTAAGTGCAAAGTACTGCTGAAAGACTGGCTGGCGCCTATTCCTGTACTCACCCTTGCAGGTGAACTCTTTGAAGTTGTCGACAAGTTCGTGCATCTAGGTAGTCGTGTGAGAGCTGGCGGGGGTGTGACGGACGAAATTTCTAATCGTAAAGTGAGAGCCAAGGTGGTGCATGCTGATTTGAGCCACCTCCAGTGCTGTCGCGACGTCAGAATGGTCATTGTAGGTCGGGTTTACGATGCTTAGGCACATAAAGTCTTGCGCAATGACTGTGAAACTTAGCCCCTCCGGGCTGAGGATGTTCCGCGGCTCTGCGTATTCGATCATCGCTGTCTCTGTAGAACTGCTTGCGTCCGACGGCATCATCATGTTCAGCAGCCAGTGTTTAGACACGGTGGAGGTCACCATTTATTGTATAGTCATCTCGAAACACTAGTTTTGATGGCTATGATATGTGCTACGAACGTCACTGCAGAGGTCGCCATACCGGTTTCTGTTCGCTAGCCCTGGGAGTGGATATAAAAGCCGAAAGGTGGTCAGTTTCTGGACATAGTGCTGAAGGATGGAGGATATTTGTTAGTTTAGCATCAGTTGACACATCGTGACTTCTTGGTTGAGGGTCCGTTCGAGAGATAGTTCGAACCTGTGGCTTGAAACACCATCAGACATGGCCCAGAATCACAAACAATGGCGAACACGCTTCTTTTCTTAATGTAACATAAAGTGATGAATGCTGAGTGATCTTCACAAGTGTTTGCTTGCTTTGTGGATGACGTCCCTCGAACATTCTATTTCTTCCCTTAAATATTGTTACTTTCTTAATTACGTGTAGTGTATCTCTTAGTCTACCTACTGTACCAAGTTTGTGTTTTAAATAAATAAATAAACACTTATCTAATTTATGGAGAATTCAAATAGGTTTACTTCATACTGAAGCTTGCACTGAAGATGTTGTCTAGGAGGACAATGAAAGTCTTACAATTTAACTGACCAGCTGAGAGAACACAACTAAAAGAGAATAAATAATCTACATCTACCGACTGACAGAGTGACAAATTAATGTAAAGTTTACTCCTGCCCCCTCCCAGCACCTTCGAGGAATCTAATACCTTTTTTGAAATTCAAACCCATCAATACTGAGCTAAACAAGTCCCAGTGGACATTGTTGTGGAGATCAGTTTCGTCAATCCCTTCCTATAGACACCACTAATGTTAATTCTGTATATTTTACACAAGATATCTTCCGACACCATTTGATTTTTGTGTAGATTCTATTGAGTTTTAGTGCCTAATACTGTTGCCTATCACACGATTCAAATACGTGATGGATGTTTTTATGTACTAATCTTTGAAACATATTTAGCGTAGATAAGCTTACGAAATATCGTTTAACAATCGTGTGAATTGCTTCAGGCCTGACAATGGCACAAACCTACTTTGTGATGCTTGATAGTTTTTTTTTCCTTCACGTTCCCCAGTGGGACATATGGCTTCAAGCTAGTGGCTTGAATTTTCTGAAGCAGTATTTATTTTACAGGATGGGGTTGCTAGCCTCATGCCCAACCTTTCCCTTTTACCAGCATTATTTCTGGCTTAGCGAGGTAAAGGAGTGCGTCGGCCGGAGATCGAGCCCCGGACCATGTGCATGGTCGGCGAGCGTCCTAACCGCTATGCCACCGACGCACGATGCTTGATAGTGCCACCCAGTTATTGCTTCCTCCGGAGACAGAGCAAGAATTTAACAAGTAGCCTATCCGTTTGAAATTAAGCGATCTAGTAAGACACCCTCAAAAATGCAAGAAAACCTGGAGATTACCGACCGGAATTAGGTGCACGCTATCCTTATGGCAACATAAAACTATATATATATATATATATATATATATATATATATATATAACATTTAAAATAATAACAGGAACTAACCAACTAATGTCCATACTAAGGGATAAGCTGTTCTTAATTTAAGAGCACGTCGAAAATACATGACAGCTTTTTCGTGCTGCCCACGTAAACCAAAGAAATTCCCCACAACACAACACGTCTCTGCATTATATCTGTCCAAATTAATACAATGATGGGCTAAATGGGCTAGATCTGTTAAATCTTCACAAACGTATAATATGTTTGAATATACATCCACATTGTCTAGTCGACATGGACAAGCATTGAACAACTGTAATATTTAAGATGGAACAGAAAGAAAAAGTAAAATATTGATTTTCATATTCATAAAAACATATAACTACATTTCTTACAGTGTTTGTACTTGAGGAACATAATTATGATGTGCAATTGAAAAAGCGTAACACTAAATGACGTCTAGTAACACTATCTAACTACGAAAACAGTCGTTGAGTGGAACGCGGTTTAAACCCAAAATCTATTCACCAAATTTTGAACTTCTTAAGTGACAAGCTAAGTCATTATGATAACAACAGCATGTTTTATCCTAAATGAATTCCACTTAGAAAACTTACACAGTAATAAAAGATAAATTATCCGGTCAATGGTGAATTCTTATCTACTTTACTTATTCAGAACAATCTAACCCAAATAGTTCCGAAGAAATTCGTGCAACAAAAGTGTTGTATACTATCTACACAAGGATATACCTATGGATAATGGGTTATTAATGATGGCTTCATACGACATCGTAGCAAAGCTGCCAAGTATGGCGACACAGGTCGTCGCCCATGTTTATATGTTATTTTTTATATTTAATTAATATTTTATTCCTCTACGTTCCCAGTGGAACATAGGGCTTCAAGCTAGAGCTTTGAAGTTTCGGTAGCAGTGATGTTTACATGATAATGCACTTAATTTTCTCGATATTGTGACATCAAGTTATAAACTTAAAAATCTTGGGGGAATAAAAATCACTAACTGAATTCGTTGAGATTGGTTTCTAAATGATGGATTTCTGACATACTAAAGTGGATAGGTTGCAAAGAGGAACATTTACGTTATCCTGACATTATATTGATATCTATGATACATTTTACCAAACAGAAGGATGTCTTTGGTTTTAAATAACATCTAAGAGGTGTTCGTTGAGTAGGCGGCGCTAAACTATATTTCAGCTTTGTTCAATCTACATTAGAATGACGTCTCTCCTTGGTGCTTAGAAAATCTACATGCTTGTACGTAGTACAGCAGTATTATGGTAGGCTTGCAGTTAATCATTTATTTATATAAAAACTGAGTCCTATGGTCTTCAGTATTGTTATTGAGGGTAAAATCCGATTCAAACACACACACACACACGCACCAAGAAACAAATGTCCAGTGAGTCTAAATTTCCAATGGCTACTTGACCAATATAAGTTCATAGTGGAAATCCAGACTCCAACTTCTTGTTAACATCACCACTCCCTAATTATTTCTTTTCACCTGTTTATTTACTAATGTAGATAAGAATATTTATCTTACCATGCAACCAGATATTAGATAAAACAGTTTAAACAGTCTAAAAACATTAAAATGATGATAGTTGTTCTGAACAACTAATAACCTTTAAGTATTGGTTTTGTAGGAATTTTGTTTGATTGTATGGAGGATTTCACCATGAGCTGACATCAGTTAGAGAACCACTAGGAAACCTGGAAGTACTGGACAGCTGTTTCGTCCTAGTTTGGGATTCTTCAGCAGTACGCACTCACCGGGGTTCGAACCCAGGGCCTTCTGGTTACAAGGTCTTTAGCCTGACCTTACAATTAAAATGTGACAATGTCAGGGGTGGAAGTGAGTCTCTTTAGTTTCACAATCAAGCTAGATGATACGTAGAAATACAACAAAGAAAGACTGGTTTGGGTTACTACACAACTTTCCTCTACAGTAAGTTCGATATCGCCGTGAATATATAAATGAAAGAGTCATTATATCTGTAGCAATTCGTAAACAATATTCTCATCAGTCAGTAACCATATATACATTCGTCCGATGGGGTATGAGATGCACTTATATTATTGTGATACTGCTTGACTGCTTACAACTCGAAGTGAGTTATAACTTCGGTGAATGAGAACCAATTATCTTTACTTGCAGGATGGCTTCACCAAATTATATAAATACTACAGTTTTTCTTTCCTATGATATTATGCGTTATAAATATTATTGTTTACTCTCCATAATACTTACCTGCTTAAATTGTTTTTTGGCCAATTCAATAGCACGTAATTCATCATAAGCTAAGCCAATTGCTGCTTGTAAATTAAAACTTTTACTGAATCCACTTCCTGATAGTTTTAAAAGGATCTCCAAGGCTCTTTCACCTTCATGTAGTTTCAAATATACCTGTCAGAATAAATATGGAGAGAAGACTATTTTCAAATAGTAATACAACAAGAACATACTACGATAAACAATAGTGGAATTTTATCACATTGAAAATAAGTTCTGTGAATATGACCTCTGGGTGAGTACCAACAAAAATCACACCTAAGTGAAGGGTTGCCCGCTCGCTAATTCTTTTCAACTATCAAACATAAGTTTTGAGTGAACAAATTTCAGCTTTACTCTCCTTCATCAATAGAAACAATAAAACAAAAATAATAAACCTGGAACCCTAAACTCATTCCACTCAAAATATTCAGTGTGCATTGTTATGAAACAATTCTACTAACCATCAAATTATATTTCCACATCGTTTAACTCCCTTACTTTTAGGATTATCGCAGTAGTAGGGTTACTTCTTTGATATAACACAGCTTAAAATATACGGAGAAAATTTGAATTAGAATAACTAGTAAGCTGACATGAAATATGCAGTAACAAAACGCTGGAAAATTTCTAACCTTAGCTTCAAAGAAATATCTCATCCAGCATTCATCATCTGTGGGAAGGTTTAAACTATTCATTTCTTCTTTATTTTCAATAAGATCAACTAATTCATACCATGCAGGCCATAGAAAAGGATAAAAATTAATCGCCTGAACTAGTAATGATATAGTTGTCTCCTTCATTCCCAGTCGAAGACAAATCAACGCATTAGCATATAAGAGGAATGAGTTACCAATTCCATGAGTCTTATTTTCATCTTTGTAATTCATTTTACTTGTATACGGTTCTATTTCACACTTTAACGATGAAAGTTCTTTATTACATCTAGCAGTAGACAGAAATGATGATTTTGCTTCCTCATTTGGCTTTAATGTAAGCCGTGATTCAACAGCATCATTAGCACGGCGTTTTTCACAGGCCATATACCGTGAATATATATACAGGAAATAATACACATAACCATAGTTATCAATAAAACATTTCGGATAATCATGAATTGACTTCTCAAAATTATGCGATAATATCTCGGCGCAATGATCATATTCTTGAATATCAAAACAACTGCGAGCAAGTAGGAAGGTGGTCAATTTATCTGCTGGTATACTTCGGTGAACGTTGCTAGCAGAGAAAACGCTATCCGGAGCTGATATTATCGGAAGATTTATAGACCACAGTAAATCTGTAAGCCATTTGCAACTGTGACGAAGACCTCGAAGCTGACATTCAAAAAATGCTTGTAATATATCTGCTTGAACAGCACACAAGGAAATAGGATATCTAACTATTTCAGCACTTTCATTCATTTGTATAACTGAGTGATTATATCTAAATAAGTAAAAATAAAATCAAGCTTGATATGGAAATTAATTCAATTTGTATACAATGAAACTTCTGCATAACCATGTTAAACTATATTCCATTTAGATAGCCACACTAATTCTATGTACAGATGTTTGTAGACTAGTCTATGTTATCATTAACAACTGATCTCTACGCCGTAACAGAGTTCGGCCTAATGATATAAAATTCACTCATACTTTGATATTTGAATACGTTGGGATATAAGCAAATGTTCTAAAATTTACGGCTTTTTTAATTTAGTACTTCTCTAGCTTATGTCGTAAGCAATGGTGAGAGTCATGTGATAAAGAAATTGTGTGGGGAATAGTAGTAAAAGCGAGCTATTGAAACTGAAGGAAGATAAATGGTATGCAGTGAACATAAAACTTTGAGAGCTAATGAAAATGTTTGCATGGTTGGTACTTTTTTCTGACCATTTTACGAAAATTAACCGTTTCTTGGAACATGTGACAGGCAAATTAATTTCAAGTGAACACAGCCAGGAGACATCTACTTGAGACTGTTTACTTGTGGACTATTAGACGGTATATTTAACCTGTCAAAAACTTGCCTCTAATCATGGATCTGTATAAGGTTTGTCTGGATGTACTTCTCTATGACCTTTCCAAACCATCCACAGAATGGGGGGCAACAGAGTGTATCGCTTTATAGATTTCACGAAGAAACGCCTTAGAAGTACCAATTACTGAATTCGCTGTTGCTGGAGTGAAACATCAAATCACCATTAGGTCAAAAGTACATCACATCTCTTGTACATTTATTACTGAATGGATTATTTAAGCCAATTTGGTTGCCTTCGTCCTCAAACCACATGACAAATGTCCAGTTAACGCATGTGACAGTCAGTCGGGATTTAGTTAACAAATATATCAAAACAGGTGAGTATTTAACCAAAATTATTCTACAACTGCCAGTTGTATCGCAGCTGCTTTTAGTTCATCACATGAACCACAAAAATAAAGCACCTATATTTCTTGATACACATAAGAAATTTCTGCTTTATTGAAAAGAAAATCTGGAATTGACGTTACAGCTTGATGTTAACCAGAAGTTTGCTATGACTCATAATTCTGATATAAAAAGGGACTTTACTCGAACTCATGCAGCTAGGTGAGAGCTCACGGCGAGTTGTCATCTGAAGTGGTAACAACTAGTGGTGTCCGTCAGGGATGGCCAGTATCCCCATTCCTATTCGATTTCATCATAGATGTACTAATGGATTTAACCCTAACTCATTTCAGACATTCAGGGAATGACTTGCTACCAGGGAATAATCTCGTTGATATTATACTCCTCCCTCCTAGGTGAAGACGCTAACAAAACCAAGCAGAGTCTTCTGAACACCTTGAGCTGCCATCTATGAATATTTGGCATGCGATTCGCTCCCGCCAAATGCAAGATGATGTTACAGGACTGGACTACATTGACTCCTAGTTTAGAAATAAGGAGTCAAGTGGTAGAGCGTGTTGACCACTTCACCTGTTTGGGAGGTTGCATCAGCCAGCGCCAATAGGTTGATCTCTGATGAAATCTTAGCACGGATACAGAAGGCTCGTTTGGCACTTTCCAATCCACATCATCTCTGTCGATTAAGTGATATACGGCTGTCGACAGAAAAAAGACGTGTGTACTGCTCAGCAGTTTGCTTTGTCCTCCTTTATGGCTGTCAGACATGGCCGTCGGAAGTGGAAGACATGAAAAGGCTAGGTGTCTCTGATCATAAGTGCCTGCGTTCTACCTCCCATCTGAAGAGGTATAATACGGTGAGCAATATTGAGGTTAGGCGTCAGGTGCTAGGTAAGGAGGGGAAATGAAACGACGAGGCTGTGAAGTCACATCCACTGAGATGGTTTGGGCATGTGTTACGCATGCCTAGCCATCGCCTTCCTCAAGAACTGGCAATGTCAGCTGACATAGGGTCAGGCTGGAAAAGAGCCAGTGGTGGTCAAACCAAAACATGGCTTCCTCAGTCAATGAAATTCACAACAGTTAGTTTAAGCCACGTAGGGAGATGTGGACTTCCTGGTTGGCGTTCTCATGACTGTAGACACCAATGGCTGGGGACAATTAGTAATATAGCTTAAAATCGTTCTCAATGGTTCAGATGTATTCTCTCCTTGTCTTACAGTACCCAATATAACTATATTGTCCTTTGATATTACTAATCTTTATGCCTCATATCTCTGTTTACTGTCTCTATTTTGCGTTTCTTTTTACTTTCTTCTCTTGGTTTGTGTGTTGAGTGAAGTGTAGCGACTGGAACTGCTGTAATCGGTGCATGGTTCTATGTTGAAATCAGTTACTCTGATATAAAAAACTGGATATAATACAGCCATTTAGCCACCTTAAGATGCTATTTCGGACCAGAAACTGGATTTAGGCAAGTATGTACTCCAATGACGGATGCAGATTAGAAAGCAGCACTTCACAATTAAGACAATCTGAACTTGCAATAGTGCTGAAGTAATGTTCGCAAATTACGAACTAAGGCCTACTTTCTAAGGTGAGGAAAACCTGAAGTGATTTTTATATGATTCCATATTCCGTACAAAACATCACTCGGTGCTGTTTGCCGCTTTAGTTCAGTGCCATCTGGCATTTTTCAGCGTCTTTAGCTCCGACTATCATTATTTCAGAACAACATGCCTTTGTTTAACAACTATCAAAATTTATGAGCGCTACCCAAATTATTGAGCTCATACTAAGTCGTTTCGGGAAGTAAAGCACCCCCTTTGGAACTACACCGCATTGTTGAGGGATAGTTCAGAATTAGTTCAGCATTATTGTAGGTTTGGGAATAACGCAAAACTGCACATTTACGAACGAAATATTTGCTAATTACAGTAATGGTATTTATTAAGGTCTTGACAAATTTAATCATTACGGAGTGGATTTCGGGTGAAGTTAAGGTATTATAGCCAAAGTCAAGGTCTTTCAAAAATTGGCTTTCAAGAACCGATCAGATACACGGAACAATATGAAGTGTCATGCCAGAGGAAATAGTGCCTGTCTTTTTGAACTTGGAAAGGATACATACAGTATTCTACTTATATACTAGGCACTTTTTCTTCAAATCTATACTGTCAGATAGGGTTAAAATTAAGGTTTCAGGGTCTGCATCGAGGTTTAGAGTAAAAGCTAGATTTAGGAGTTGGGAGTATGTTTAGAGTTCTTAGGTTGGAGAATATTGTCAGAAATATCAATAGACCTTAAAGTGCTATGACCTACAGCCAACTGGATGCATGTCTACATCGCGCATGGTATGACTTCTCTATACATTATAAGTGCAGTGACTTAGAGAAATGTATACACAAAGCTAAAACTATTAAGTGGAATACCATGTTTACATTTTTAGTGTATTTTTCGACGAGTATACGACTTTATTGCATCGGAATTTCGATTAGTTATTCAAAGTTACTGTGATACTGGCAGTGATAGTTAAACTTTTGCCGGATTTCGTACAAAAAAGTATCTACAATTATTTGACACCACGAATTCAGTCGATAAATTATAATTCAGGGATAATTTTTGTGTAGTTGATTGGAATGTCAATTTCCTCTCGGTTTTTAATGCCTACATATGGGAAAAAAATACCGTCAAACGACTTGCGTGAAAGGCCCCCAGGTGGCCATGGGCAGCCTGTAGGACAGCCTGTCGACGGACGTAATTTTGAGTGACCGCGAATGAGATAAACAAGCGATTTGCTCGCTTGTGATTGGCCAGTTTGTCATTCGAGTTGAGGTAATTTCAAACATCATTTTGCTGCTTGGTTAAGTCCTGAATTTCCGTGAGCGTCTTATCAAATTGGAGAGATAACTGACAACACAAATTATTACAGCTCAGGAAAGAAATGATATAGAAGTGGATTTATTTGCTGAATTCAACAAATTCATGCCAAATTACGATCTAAGGACTTCTCAGGAGTGTCAAGAATGCAAACAATGTCCTGAAGAGGTAATAACTTCACGCAATTTCAATTATCGCTTGACCATTATTTCCATAGATCCCTAAATAAGTATAATATAGACAGTGGTCTGGTTAATCATGATAAAAACGGCATGGTTGATGCAGCATATATGTATACTTTTGTATATGTAGGTAAACCTAGATGAGCTGTGTTCTTGTCACGAAGATCGGAAAGCAGGTAACAGATGTCTCAGTAAGCAGTGTAATACACGTAAGCTACATGTTTCTATTTGAGATAAACTGGATCTCCACTCACTTTCAGAATTAATCTTGAATTCAGTTGGAATAAGCTGGTTGGGCACATCAGTATTGACAGAATACAGTGGAAGTAAGTAAACACATGTTTCTTAAGATTAAGTGATGCATTTATTTGATATGATTGTATTATTATTAGTTGTCTATCTAAGTTAACGATGAATTTATCACGATAATAATATCTATTATTGTTTTTATAGTCACTATGATCATGAATGTCGTTATTATTGCTGTCAAAACCTATTATTTGTCATAAAGTTGTTGTCATTTTTCCTAAAATATTTGTACAAGCTTTGAAAACTACTGCATAACTTGTTGTTAGATAATTTTATCATTTCATGATGCTTCAATGGACCTACTGGATATCGACAAACGATAAGTTGCGAAGTCCCTTAAGTTTAGTGAAAACTATTGGGCTACTTATATATATATATTGTTTGTAAAGTGATTACTTGTAAATGCTTATCAGGAAAATTTTTTATTCAGATCATAAATGTAATACCCAAGTTAATTATGCTTTTCTTAAACCTTTTCAGACCTATGGAAAAACATATATGTGCCGTGTGCGCAGATGGAACTTACTGACGGTAACAGAGGACTACTCATCTGAATTATCTGTACATTTGAAATCTGATTTTTGTTTAATAAACAATTTTTCAATGAATCTGTCTTCCTTCTGTTGTAATGCGATTGTGTTCCAGTAACATAAGTGTGGAGTACGTAACAATGTGATTGTACACTTTTTGGTTATTTGTACAAATTCGAGATATTGTACATAATTTTTGTTCAAAACGCTTCTTGTTGAAATATTCATAACTTCCGTGTACAATTGAAAAATACACTCTGCTGTTGGAGACTTCGTCTTCTTCCTGGTCACTTCTGCTTACTTGCTCAACTCACTCCATGTTGTATACTTCGGATTTATTGTAGGAGTCTACTACTCTCAACCGAAGACATTTCTACAACCGGAACACAGCAGCTACAGTAGACGCAACCCAATCAATTAACGTACCCGTGGATTATATACATAATTTGTAGCAGAGGACTTAGACTTTATATCCAAGTAATCCTTTTTGTTGATACAACTCGTCACTGCATTTTTTGGTAATATATTGTTATTTAACACTCCATTGACTTGGATTATTATTCTTATATTTATAATGTTAGTGAACTCTCGTATAAGTCCCCTACATAAGTAGCACGTGCTAAGTTAGAAGTTGAGGTTAAACTGTTACGTGTAAATGCGGCGTCTGGAAAACTTTTGTTACGTGATTATATTAGCAGATAGCAACGTATCGTGTTTCACGGCTGAGAACCCTAGGCATTCTGTTTTTAGTTATTACGATGACCATAGTTGCACTGAGTCATACATCTAACAGCACAGGTATGGTCTCTCCTTATGGTACACTGCGGCATACAGAAATCACAAGCAAACTATCTCAGGTAGATTTACTCTCACTCTGTGACTATGAATCGCGAATCAGTTTACGTATTCTGCTATGACGATATATAACTCGAAACGCTTTATAATCGCAATACCTCTTCTACGATTTAGACATATCTACTTTATTTGACTACAACATAATGTTTTACCAATAGGCTTCTCTGAATATCTGCTCCTACTTGGCATTTCAAAGATAGCCTCATATACTCTATACCCCACAAATTACGCAAGGGCTAATATCCGGTCTTATCAAGTAAAATAAACAAACGAATAACGAGGAATACATTTATTAATGAATTAACATGCAATACAAAATCGACAGCACTGCAGGTATCTTTTTCTTTATCACCCAAATCCATGAAATTCCCGAAAGTAGATATTCTCTGAAAAAGAACAAAAGAATTATACAGATGTAGACATTGTTATCAGTGTAAACACAATAATTAACCATGAAATATGTTTGAAACGACGAAATAATTGAATTGTATATAATTACGTCAGTAAACATTTTTCAATAATACAAAATCGATATTGCATCTGCCTGCAAACGTCAAGTTTATGTCATAAAATAAGGAAATATTATGCGAATATAATTTCTAAGTATTTCTGCATATTTTTCCTTAAAGAAATACATGTGAAGGAGCCTTGTCAGCATTAGGAAAAGTACACAACAAAGTAAATGAAATAATTACCAAAACGAGCTATCCCACCTCATCATGTCCCTGTGTAATCCATTAAAATGCAAAAAAATTCACGAAATGGTCGTTATAACATATGTCTTCAAGTAATTCGACATATTCTGAACGGAAAAGTACGTTTTTTCAACAAACTGCCAACTGCCTGTAAGCTACGGCCGGATAAGGACAGCACCATTGCCTATTTCTGCTAAATACGCCGTATTTCATCAACTTTTAGCTAGAATATATGTAAAAAAGTGTGTATAACAACGAAAAATGACCTAGCCTTGACGTATTTTCCAAAAATAACGCCAATATCCATCAGCTGATCAAATGACCTACGGCCGTCTTCAAGCTGCCCACTTCTATCCATTATTCTGTCATAAGTAGACCAAATTCACTTTTTGCAGGACAAGCCTATGGGTACATAGTTGCACTGCTTTGCACTTTTAACGTTGAAAGTCATAATGTGGTGAGGGCTTTGCTAGCCAAATTGGTAGACAGTAATTCACGTCAATGTTTACGTCCTCAATATTGGTCGTGAGAAAAATAAGAACAACGACCGATCCGATAACCAATCACAGAAGACTTTACGTAGGCAGATACTATTTGCAGATAGATAATCTTAACTTCAAGAAATGGCCACAAAGAAATGAAAGATAAACGTTCAGCGAGAAACCGTCAATCAGAAAATTTTGTTCGTCTGCTTAAATAATCTATAATAATGTACATGAAAATCTACGAATATCTAATTATCTAAATTATCGGTCTGTTGCCTGGCCCTTGTTTTCTGACGTTACAATACCACTGACCGTTTCGTATTCCTTCTGAGTCAACTGCTCCTGGGGCTGAATATGCCAGTTAAAATAGTTGAGGAGCTGATAGTGTGAGATGAGCGGACCGAGGTAGTCTGAAAATTGAGACTACCCTATAAGAGCCAATGGCCATACGAGACGACAGCCATCTCCACTGCTGTATACCATGCGTGTATTCTTCACAAGCAGTGCCAGTTTTTATCTCCAGAACGCCCTGTATGACCATTTGACTGAATGCACGTTGTTTATCACGTCTTACTCTTATATTGAAGTTCCGTTAGATACCTAGTATTTGTGACGACTGTAATATCCCTTCAGCATGTTTATCGTACTTGATCGTGCCTGTAAAAAAGGCATGCATTTTCATGGAAATTTGTAAATTTATATATGTTTATACGAAATATATACATTATTATTATCTTTGGCAGAGCCCAGCGTCACCCTAAATGGAGGTGGCTCACCTTGGAGTGCCTGAACACCTCTGTGTGACCTGCACAACTTTAGTGGCTTGTTATCAAGCCTCAATTCGTTGTACACTCCTACGTTAGGAACGGTAAGGAAGTTTGACTGACTGAGCTCGGGCTAAGGTCTAGCCTTTGGTTGCTTGCCATTCTTTGGAAAGTGAGTAACCCCGAAATGAATCAGGGTCCGGTTAATCTGTGTCACGCTGCGATGGTTTCTAGTAGATGCAAGTAGTCTTTCCACATACCCCTGCTGCTCCTGTTAGCGCGTTTCCAGTGTTTTTACTGGTGGAATGCTTACGGATGTGATTTTGTGTGGATTTATATGGATTAACGTTCCTATTCTGCTGCGCTAGAAATCGTAGTTTTTGATTATTTTTGATGACGGGATGTTGATCAGTGGAATGCCGCATGAATCGTGTATGGGCAACAAGGGGATTACATGCACCAGACACATGGGGATGGGTTATTTGGCATAGATTCATGGTGTGCTGTTGGCACTGGTTTCTCAAAATGGCGGTGAATCCAACATCCGCGAAAATTGCATTCAAGTGCTGGGTCTCTATTGCAGACAGTAGCACTACACGCCTGCCAGTCGTCTCCTCTTCCAAAAAACGCTTTTGAGCTCTGATGGCGTCTTGATGGTTTCTTTTTGGTTTTGACGATTGTAATACATTGGCTTCCTGTGTATACAGGTGCAGTTTCTTATCCACTTGCTTTTGTCTGTGTGATTTTATTGCTGGACTGTAGCAACATAGGCATACTGTTAGAACGTGTCTTAAGAACAGGGATGCAAGGTGGCGTTAGTACCGACGGTTTATTTCCTGTGACTGAATTCAGGATATGGTGTCTTATCGCAGTCTTCAATGTTAGTTTCGGCTGTCATATTACTGAATGTCATTAATTATGCTTAAATATTTGTCAAAGATAGCAACGGTTTCTGTTTGATGGAACAAGAACGTATAGAGTGATTAAGTATAAGAAAAGATGAAAGCGTTTTCGACTTCAGCTATA